TAGCTCCATATTCAATTTTTCCCACCACCAGCAACCATGCGCTATTAATGATTCTTGATAAACTGATCCCTAAATATAGAAACTAAATCTTTGTACATGTTTTGGCCCAACAGTCCTCTATTTTATGGCTCTCTCTGCTATAGGCTCCTTGGGCTCACTTCAGTCTTGTTGGAATCTGTGTGCCTTAGATGATGGCATAGCAGAATGACCATGGAAACAGCAGTTCCTTTTTTGAAATTCCATCTGGTCTGCCTTTGTACTAATATTAGGCTGAATCAGAACTCCTGACTAGGAAAATGCCCATGTGATGTGCAAGATTCTATACAGCGAAAACAGTTCTAAGTGTGTACAGCTTGTCACAATATATTTGAGGCTCAAGTTTTCACTTTGGCTAATGATGCTTTTTATAAGCACCATGTGGGCAACATGCAAAGGGAGATGTGTTCTCCTAAGATCCCTTACTATGTCCCAGATCATGTTGGGGCACAACTCTTCAGATCCTGTGAAGCAGCACAAAACAGAGTTGTGCTCACCACTCTTAGCCATTGTGGAGCAGATATCCTTGGGACTACGTAGTGCTTACACTTGGAAGGGAATTGAGGAATATTGCCACTCTAAGCGCACTCTCATATGGGGACACATACTAGTTATTAGTCAGAGGCTTTTTACCGTATTTTTTGCTCTATAAGACTCACTTTTTCCCTCCTAAAAAGTAAGGGGAAATATGTGTACGTCTTATGGAGTGAATGCAGGCTGCGTAGCTATCCCAGAAGCCAGAATAGCAAGAGGGATTGCTGCTTTCACTGTGTAGAGATCCCTCTTGCTGTTCTGACTTCTGAGATTCAGAATTTTTTATCTCTTGTTTTCCTCCTCCAAAAACTAGGTGCGTCTTGTGGTCTGGTGCGTCTTATAGAGCGAAAAATACGGTATGTTAGTTTTAGGGACTGCCAAGAGAGACTAGGCTGCAGCCTGTTTTACTCCCAGGTTTTTGCAATGTGAAACCACAATATAATATTCAATGTCTCAGGCAGAGAGGACTTGATAACTAACTGTACCTCACAGTCATCTCCCAGTTTACTCATTGCTTGGACCAAAGGTGGTGCTAATAATATGAACTTTAATTTTTATATTTATGTTGTTGTTGTTGGGTTTTGAGTGTGTATATGTTAAATCAATGATGCAAGTGTCCTGTTAAAACTAAAAAGATCTTACCCAGGGCATCAGGCACTTCAAAAACCCACAAAATACCTTTGGGATTCAGACATTGTACATTTGGAGAAGGGTAAAGGATACTCTTATCTTCAAATGCTTGCAAATTGTTAAGTTGTTGCTTTTTAAATTTCCATTTGTTTACATGGTCTCTTCTATGTCCTATGAAAAAATAATAAAGTTTTTGATCTTTTTAATTGTGTTCCAATTGTTGTTTAGTTTCTTTTTATTGAGTTTGTATTTTATTTATTGTATTGTAGTTCACAAAAAATTATATGCCACTTGATTTTAAGAAGAAGAAAGAAAAAGAAACCCCAAAGCAGTTAAAATTGGCGTCCCTGGAGTGTAGGCTTCAACAACCAACCTTTATTTCTGCCAACAGCTGAATATGCAGCTTTCTACTGTAGATTCTTGTCTGCACAGCATATCTTGTCCTTCCTTGCAAGGACAACAGTGGTCCCTTATGGACAGAATGATCAGCATCCTCACAAAAATAAATTCCCAATGATCTTTTTTTTTTTTTTTAAGAAGTACTTACGTTGGCCTTGCTGTATCCATGAAACTAAAGGAGGTAAGGAAATAACAAATTATCATGGAGGTATAAATATGGAAAGGGAACTATTAAGGCAGAAAAGGTAGAAATCCTTAAACCAGTACACACTGGTTTTTAAGTAATTCAGGTAACTTCAGAACTCATGATTTAAGAATTGCCTTTTCTGGGTTGGAATGTGAAATGAGCAGAAGAAGTGGAAAGAGGGGAGGCTGCTTTAGGTTCAAACAAGCCATTGTCCATTAGCTTCCCGCCCTACCTAGAAAGGCTGGCAATTGAACCTGTTCTGTTTTGCATGCAAAGCATGTTCTGCACCACTGACCTACAACTCTTCCTTTATTTGTAAGACTCCTATCAGTGTCATATGAGTAATATGATTTGTAATATGTGATGGGCACTTGAGTTCAAGAGTGCTCTCTAAAAGTGCACAGTTGTGAATTCATTTGAATAGGTGTTGATAAACACAATGCACTTTTTGTAAAATATAAAGCTTTAGGGTAATGTGTACTTCTTACACAGTCCTTGGTTTCTGGTATGCTTATGGGTGTCCCTTGCAACACATTTTTTTTATGTGCAACCCGTAGTTTACCACTTTGCCCTTCACTCTTCAATAGAGGGTGGCAGTCACTAAACTAGCCACTAGGTGGTGGTGATCCATCACTAATGTTTCAGTCTCAGTTTCTCACTAGCTTGGTTTCCCTGTTGGGCTGTTTTCACAGGCTGCACTTAATTCCAGGAAGCATTCAGGGCACTGAATTTCAAAGAGGTCAAGTGGGTGGGTGTGTTTGTGCAACAATTAAATGGCAGAGTTAAATCTACTCCGATCCTTAAAAGTATCCCAAGGAGAGCAACCGGTCCTGGTGATTTCAGCATGTAGGATAAGAGCATAGCAGTAAATTTTCTAAATCAAGAGAAACTCTGAGGGGGGTGTGGTCAGAAGGCACATAATGCAGCAAAACTCTTGAAACTGGTCAGTGCCTGGATGGAAGACTACCTGGGAACTCCATGCTGCAGTGAGCTTCATGAGAAAAAGGTAGGTTCTAAATAACTCACAAAGGGTGCTGTGTTTCTGGTAGTACTTTCATGAACAGAGGTGGTGGAGATGTGTTTGAGACCCTGGAGCAGGCTTGCTCAACCTAGTGTGTGACGGATGTTGCACTGCGTCAGCACTGACCATTGGCCATACTCACTGGAGCTGATGGGAGTCCAAAACAAGGCTGCCCTGGAGGATGCAGAGTGCCTGCTAACTAAAGAAGAGGGGGAAATTATACCACCACAAAAAACATAACACCTCATCCATAAATACCTGGCCATTTACCCATGAGGTATTGAAGGAAGTCCAATAATAATAATTTATTATTTGTACCCCACCCATCTGACTGGGTTGTCTGGGTGGCTTACAGCATATATAAAAAACTTGGTTACGAACACCACCTTCTGCCTCTATTATTCCCAAGGAACTTGTGGTGGAAGGGCAGTTGAGCTTCTACAGAAAATAACTGGGATGTAGCTGCCCAGTTGGGACGCGGGTGGCGCTGTGGGTTAAACCACAGAGCCTAGGACTTGCCGATCAGAAGGTTGGCGGTTCGAATCCCCGTGATGGGGTGAGCTCCCGTTGCTTGGTCCCTGCTCCTGCCAACCTAGCAGTTCGAAAGCACATCAAAGTGCAAGTAGATAAATAGGTAGCACTCCGGCGGGAAGGTAAACGGCGTTTCCGTGTGTGCTGCTCTGGTTCACCAAAAGTGGCTTAGTCATGCTGGCCACATGACCCGGAAGCTGTATGCCAGCTCCCTCGGCCAATAAAACGAGATGAGCACCGCAACCCCAGAGACGGTCACAACTGGACCTAATGGTTAGGGGTCCCTTTACCTTTACCTAGCTGCCCAGTTACTTCCTGTCCGTTTGGACCAAGAAGTTTCTCACTAAGAAATGCCATTCTGTGTGAAGGAATGTCTTGTTCATGTATGATCTGAAACCGTTTACCTAGCAGAAAAGGCCCTCCTGTGTTTTCTAAGACAAGCTTCCAAGTTATGTGTGGCATTTGTTTCAATAAGTGGAAATAGATCCACATACTTCACTGACTCCTGTGCTCATTGACCATTGTATTGTCCTGGATGTCCCCCCCTCAAAAAAAATAAATAAATGTAAGCATCCCACACCAGCACCTCCATGGCATACCTAAATCAACTTTATTCACAATCACTGTTATCCAATTCTCACACTGAATGGAATAGTCTTTTTTTATATATTGTGTGTGTATATATATATATATTTATATATATAAACAAAACACAAAATTTGTTTTTAAATAAAGCAATTAAAAGATAAAATTCTCATTTCCTTGACATTGTATCACATGAATTCTAGATCCTGACACAAAAATACAGAGGAAAATGAAACCGACTGTGATAATGCTCCCATTGAAATGTTCTTCTGCATGAACTGCCTTGCACTTCTTTTTCAGCTTCTGTAAGCCGCCTCCATCTTTGGTCCTCAATAAATACATACATATCCCCACACTAACTGAGTGGAAGGAGAATGTTCTCCCTTTCACACTCTTCCTTCCCTTGATTCCATCTTCAACCAGATTTCTGTATGCCCAAATACATTTTTGTGCACAGATTGGCCTTCAAGCTTTGAACTTGCACGTGCAAAAGGCTGCTGCTGCTAAGGGGGGAGGAGGGAATACTGAATATCTCTTTAGGTGAAGGGAGCTGGCTTAGGTATATGTGGACACAACCCTGAGCAAGTCAAAGCTGGCAGCAACGTGATTGATTTTCTCTTCAGCTGTTGTGTAAGGATTTGAATTGGGCCCTTGGCTTACCTGGATAAAAGAAACAGTTTGCCTCTGGCAATGAGTATGATTGACCTTAGTTATGTGCTCTTAGCACATGTTGCCAAAAGCTTTTGTTTTTAAATTAAAACTTTGCAGACAACCATGTACCCCTTTAGCATGGACCCTCTTTCAGACACTTGTACAGTGTGGGGTTCTCTCTTAATTCACTTCAGTCCAGTTTGCCTTACTGGAATGGAACCAACTTCTCTGGTTGCCAAAAAGGTAATGAGTGGGAATATTTTCAAGTCAAAACAAAAATATTTCCTTCCACCCACAGTCCAATTATTAGGATTTCAGAATGCAGCTCCTGCAAATTAGCAACACCTTAGGAACACATGTAATTTAGTTACTTTAGTTTATCACAATCAATAACAGATTAAGCAAAAAAAACAACAACCATTCTTTGTCAAGGCAAACCCTTTATTAGGGACATAAAGTGGATCCATTATTTGTTTTAATAGGCTGCAATGAAGGAAGCATTTTTTTTATCGACTTCAAAATATTCCTACTCATTAACATGGGGAGGATTAAATTTAAAAGTGCAGGCACTGCAATCTGAACAAGTTCTTTACCCCTACTTTGACACTTCATAGGAATGACTCAGTAAGGAATACAGCATTTCAGACAAGAGCCCATTCCAGCAGAAGCACAAAAGGAGACGGTAAGTATGGCTCACCTTTTAAAAGCCTTACATTCAGGGTTGTATGTGAACTTCCTCTCAACCAGTGACTGACATCTGCAGGCTCAGGGGTTTGTTTTCCCACAAGGGAAAATGGAATGAATAAATCCAGGCCTCATTTGGGCAACCATAGAATTGTAGAGTTGGAAGAGACCACAAGGGTCATCTAGTCCAACCTCCTGCAGTGCAGGAATCTTTTGCCCAAAGCGGGGCTTGAACACAAAGTTGATTACTCTAGCTCCCCACCTGAACAGCACGTGAGTGAAGTCCACTGTTGAACATGTGCATTTCTGGATTAGAACCCATCTATTCAGAAACTAATGACATTTCATTTACTAGGTAAGAGTGTGCAGTCATTTGAAACATGAATAAAAAATCAAATGAGCCTCATTTACTCATCTGTTTTTATAGTAAATGGGAATTTGAATGAAAATTAAACTAAAGTTCTTACTCTGTTTTCAGCTGCAAGCTGCATTGCTTTAGAGGCATTGCTTTTGCATTGAAGAAGTCTATGCACAGTTCAGAGAAATGTCACAGTAAGGGGGAAAGAGAGAGACCAGTGAAAGCTGTGTTCAGTTCACAGAGCATCTAGCCTGTGCCTCGGCATGCTTCTAAGAACCTATAAAATGGGGACCCATTCAGTGGGTCTAATGCCCTGGGGAGGTAGTAGATTGCATACCAACTGGATAGAAAACATCCAAGTTAAAACAGAAAACTGCCTGGGTCTTCCACTGAAAGCAATGGGAAAACAAATAGAAAATTAAAGAAAAGAAACATTAAAAGTGACAATGAACCGAAAAACAAAACTATTCCTCACACACCCCTAGGTGTTTAGAAATGTGTGCCGTGTAATTTTACTAGCCACAATTGTTTGTAAAATAAGAAGTGTGCTCCCCACAGAAGTGATGCCAAAGGGATATTATTAAATGCATTTTCTAGAAAACATCTCTTCTAGAGGCAATATTTTTCTCATGCACAATAGCAGCATCAACTATACACAGCATTTTAATTATGAATTCATCATTTGAAGACATGTTGCTAGTTTCTATGGCATAGTGTCCTAAAATATGAAGCCCTGGGCTGAAGTTTCCCAAAGCACCTTCTCATATTAAAATACATTCTAGGGAAATGTGAAAACTGACTGGCAAAATCTGCCGAGCCTAGGAGATGTTTGTGTTGTTACAGTACTTCAAGCCTTTGGCTATCCTACCCCACTGTCTCTATTTTTAAAGAACTGCTTTTTCCCCCTTACCCCATCCTTCTCATCTATCGATATGCCATAATAATAATAATATAAAATACGTTAATTCATCTTTTGATATCTCCATTGCTATTGTGGATGCAACAATGCAGAGCTTCACCTCTGATTTTAGATACTATGTGAAAGCAAGATATATAGCCACAAATACCTTGTTCCAAAGCCATATATATTCACTTATCTGCTCATGTGGGGCTCCTGTCCCAACACTCTGCCTCAATCAGCTGAGTAGAGGCAGCAAATCTTTTATTGGGAAGGAAATACACATGCAGACCTACTTCCTCTCTCCAGATAACGGAGGGAACTATTCAGGGAAGAGGAGCTCCTTGATAACAAAGAATCAGAACCAGATCAAGGTGAATGTGTCTTGCATGAAATCTCCAGACAATGCTGGTCCTGTCTCTTCCCTATGTTACTGCATATTATGTATTGCCCCAACTGCTGAAACAAATGTTATCTCTCTCTTTTTATACTGTAGCTGTGGAGGAGACTGGATTTGATGGGAACCTTGCAGAATGAACACAGCCTGTTTCTAGCCATGATTGTGCAAAAAGACTAGCTCCAAAGTAAGTGGGCATATGACTACAGCCTTAGTTTGTAATTTTCTTATCTACTTATGGCCATTGGGCAGCTGTGGGGAACCTCCAAATGTTGCTGAGCTGTCATTCTGATCTTCCCTGACCCAGACTGGTCATGGTGGCTGTGGCTGACGGAAATTAAGCAACTTCTAAAGGGCCAAAGGTTCCCATCTCTGCTGTAGGATATGAAAGGTAGTACGAGATGTTCTCTTCACACAACTTATACTGGAATAGATGCAATGAACTCAACGGAAGACAACACACACACAGAGAGAATGGTCTTGTCAGATCCTGCTTCAAATGATCTTATGGTGCCACAGTAGGAAAGGGCTCCTGCCTTGAGGGGCATAAATTAACTTTCCATGTCCTACTTGCCAAAGGCAGAGATAAATCATATGGTTGTCCCATCTACATCTGGTTCTCTTATGTCATGGCTATGGAGTTTGGGGCTTTGTGCTCATTTTTAAAAAATGCTTTGCAAGTGGTTGACACTGCAGAGGGCCAGATGCAAGTTACTAGTGAAATGGGAAGCTGTTTAGGGATTTGAGTGCAGTTAAGAGAGCACAGATGAGCACCTCGAGGTGGCAAGACAAAAAGCAAGACACAATGGTTTTTGGTTGGGGGGGTGGTTAGGAAAAAATGCTAATTTATGTGAGCCAAGATTAGTGTGAGTGAGCAAACTCTTAGGAACTATAGCTTCTATTTTTGGTTTGTGACTAGGTGAGTCAGTTGTCCTTTATGCAAGGGATTGCTACAATCCACCTGCATTGTTTTTTATCCTGAAGTGCCTGTAACCTATCACATGGTACAATATCCATTGCCTTGATAAGGGTCTACTTAGATTGACAACCAACAGCAAAGTGCTTGCTGGCTCCCAGCCAGTGAGGAGTTGGCTGTGTGCAGATATTCAAAGTGGCATTTGCAGTAACATTTCAGCAGTTGGATCCAGTTCATGCAATGGTGGCACATGACCAAGCCAGCATGGACGGAGGGCCAAACCAGGCAGGCTTTTCTTTTGAACACCACATGCGCAGGTGGTCATATGCCCAAACAGAGGCAATTTTAACTGAGGCCTTTTCTGCACATCCAGCAACATGGACACTAAATTTCAAGAGGTGCCATTGCTTAGTATTGCACATCACAATATCTTTACAGATCATGAGTCCTAGGGGCAAGTTGACTAGGAATGCCTGGATGGGGGGAAACCAGTTATCTATATTCTTTGGACCACACCTGCATGAGGCAGGTGTCGATGAGGTGCTTCAGCAGCCACTGTGCTGATCCCCATAAACCAAGGATGGGGAACTTGTGCCTCTCCAGGTGATGCTGTACTACAGTTGCCAATATTTCTTTCCCTTTGCTATGCTCACTGGGATGTATGGAAGTCGAATGATATCTAGAAAGCCACAATTTCCCCATCCCTATTGTAAACTGTGGATTAGCTAGGTCCAGCCCAGGCTGAAGCACTCCCAAGTGCTCAGACAGAAAGTAGTAGAAGAATCAGTCCAGTCCAGGAGTATTACCATGCTGGGTATACTTCAAACAAGAGTCTCCTAACTTTTTCCTTACAGGCAGCGGCTGCTAGGTGTTGCAGGGAACTGGGTCTTTTAGAAATGCTGTGCCCCAATCCTCTTGGTTTTTTTTAAGGACATCTGTATTAAAGGGTTATCTGCCTTCCCCGATATGAGTTGGCCATCATTATATTTACAGCCTCAATGTATTACAGGCAACTCTCCATTTGCACAGGGGTTGCATCCCGCAGCGAAAAGCGGCACGCACACAACATGGGAATTGCCTGTACATTTAGCCTGGCGTGACTCTGATGAGGGCAAATCTGTCCACTAAGTTGGTGAAACGAAACACTTTTCATTGGGGGAAATGAAAATCTCAGACACCAGCAATCCGCTGTCCTTTTCCAAATCCTTTCTTAATCTACCTCTTTCCTTACCTAACTCTCTCTGGTGTTCATATTAGGGAGCTGAGGCTGATGAACTGGGCTGCGGGTTTCTCTCAGCTGGGGTATTTGGTGGCATTTCAGAAGTAGTTAGCCCACTTGGTGCCAGGTGATGATAAGCTGCAGTTCCGGATGCATGTGGGATTTGTCAAATGGAACACAGAAGATAGTGGAGCTGCTGAAGAATGAGGCCTTGTTAGTGTCCATCACAGCACAATCAGCTGCAGCAAGGCATGGAGGGAAACACCAAGAATTCAGTCAAGCCAGGTAGATTCACAGTGCTGGGAGCAAGAAAGGCCAAAACAACTGTCCTTCACATGTTGGGAAGAATACTTTAAAAATCCTTCATAAAACCAAATAAACATTTTTTAAAAACTATGACAAACTGCTTCAGATCTCTCTTTTTTCATGATAACAAAATAGATGCAGCTCTGTGTCACACATTCAGCTTGGCCAAAGGTTATTAAATTACTGATGCTTTTACTTTCCTTAAAAGCAGAGACAGATGTTCAGTGTCCTGATAAAAGGCCTTTGTGTGCCTTCTTCCTTATGGCTTCTAAAATGCACTCCATCATTTGCAGAAAACAGGTGTGAAGGCACCCCTTTGGCCATTGAAAAAGCCTCCTGGTGCAATGCTTTAAAAAGAAGAAGGAAACCAGTGGGTTTGGGAAAGCAGCAGGGGGAATGCTCATAAAGGATGCAGTGTCATGCTGTAGCACTATCAGCAGCTGCTTCCAAGGGTGGGGTGAACAGACTGGAGTGGAAAGGAAGAGAGCATTTATAGAAAGTAGAACTTGAAGGCTGTCAGTTAACAGTGAGACTCCCGTGTGCAGCACAGTACAAGAAGAAGCACCGAAAGATCACCTTCCTTAGCACCAGCATACGCCACATTCCCTTGGGATCCAGCTGCCACTGATGTGCATTTGTGGCCACTAGGAGAGCTGGCAGAGGCAGTTCCTTCCCATCGGAATAGACACTTGCAAGAGATATTTCTATGGGGGGAGGCCATCCCTCTTGCTCCGGCAAGTGGTTTCAGTGCTCACATGGCTTGTTCTTTTTCTACTCCACTTAAACGTCCAAAATGTTGAATTCATTCACATAATGAAACTGCTAACATACCCAAGAAAATCTGATTATTCTGCATAATTTGATCCTTGCAGGAAGGTGGGTGAGTGGAGCCAGAGCTAGGGAAAGAGGAGGAATGCAATTCAACCTTTCTTGACGGATGCACATCAGATTGTTGTCAGTAGCTCTCTGCTAGATGCCAAGGAAGGAAGGAAATGTTTCTACCTCAAATTTCTGGGATTTGCCCACATGTAGCAACATTCAGAGTTAGTTGCACAGGGAAGGATGGGAATTTTGGCAAGCTGGACAGCCCCTCCCCACCCTGTTCTGTTGAGTTGTCATAAGAGAGCATGTCCCCTGCTGCCCCTACCCTTTTCCTGCCATGCTGCTCTAGGTGCTGCGATAGGTCTTGATGATGTCCTTGATGGCACGTCTGCAGATAGGACAACAGGCATTGGCCATCTTCTTGAGTTTGAGCCCGCAGGTGTAGCACAGACACATATGTCCACAGGAGTAAATCACGGTATCTACCATGTTCTCATAGCAGATGGTGCACTCGTCATTCCAGGAACCTGAGATGGAGGGGGAAAGGGGGGACTCTGGCATGCTGACGGGAGAGTTTGGAGCTGTGCCTGCAATACAAGAAATGCTGTCACTCTTTTTATATGTCATCATCTCCACCCAGGGATATCAAAAACAAGATTGCTGGTCCAACATATCATATTCTAGAGGTTAACAATGAGAGAGAGAGAACATCACCCCACTTCTGTAACTCCCAGCTGCATCTGTCTGACCACTATCAGGATGGCTAATACTGTGCCAGATGGACCATTCATGGGTTCCAATATGTCACTCAATGTACTCAATTTCCTGCAGAGGTCAAGATTATCCTTCCTCCTCTTGCAGTTTCTACTAAAATGTGATGGCCAGCCATGATCGATAGGATACTGCAATACCAGTACAGAAGCACAATAAGCTTCAGAACGTGGTGTCCTCCCCCAATTGCTAGCAGATTTCCCGAGCTCCTGTAGTCTTTTCATCCATCCACCTCTCGGTCAGTGTCAAATATATTCCAAAGTCACCGATGGCTTGGATCTTGGAAGCAAAACCCATTTGTGCCAAAGAAAGAGGTGTACACAAATTAGTGCAACATAGTCTAGTCTCAGAGTCTGGAGGCTCTTTGGGCATATAAATTGGATTTGAATGTGTAACCTGCACACAAACATGCAACTGCATGTTACTTTTGTAGTAAAAGTGTTACTTTTCTCCCATAAGTGGATTTGGTTCTCTGTCCGTGTCTGTAAGAACAGAAGTACAAAACTGCATCTCCAGACAACTGTCTCATTGGTCTGTTGGGGTGGAGGGTATCTCTTCAAAGTGATGAACACTGGGCATTGATAAATTTCTAGAGAACAATAATTTGCCACAAGGCCACTTCTAAAGCCCCCTACATCCATTATCTGTGTGAAAGTATCACCCTGCGCCTGCAGAGGAGTAGAAATAGGCTCCGGACCAGCCTCTGGCCTTGGGCATGTGGCCCAGCCCTACTTACAGATGTCAATGTGGTTGGTGTAGTTGTCTGCACGGAAGAAGCAGCTGCACATTTATAGGGCTTCACACGATCCAAACACCTGCTTGCCAGTGTCCCGAGTGCACGGAAGCCTAAGCACAAGCTTAGTGTAAGTCAGGCCTTGTTTATGTGCAAGGGGTAAACAACGGCAGGCAGTGTGCCTGATCATTGGGGTCCACTCATCAAAATTCAAGTACAAACATAAGAAAAGCCTCCTGGATCAGTCCAGCATCCTGGTCTCACGATGCCTGTGGGAAACCTGAAAGCAGGATCCGAGAACAAGGTCACCGTTCCCTCCTGCAGTTTCCCACAACTGGTATTCAGAAACGTTACTGCTACCAAGTGTGGAGGAAGAACCAACATGGCTCGCATCTAGATTTGTGTCTCAACTAAAGCATCCACGACAGATGGCCATCCAACCTCTGCTTAAAAGCCTCCAAGGAAGGAGAGTCTACCACCACCTGAGAGAATCCATTCCACTGTTGAACAGCTTTCTTGGAAGCTTACAAAATTATATTAAAACAACAAAATATCACCAATACAGCACCATTATAAAATCTAAAATCACTTTTAAAACAAAGAAAAGAGGAGAGGAATTTTGCAATGACAAATGAGCAGAGATTGAAGACTGCCCCAAAGTGCAGCTCCTGCACTTCTTGGGGCAGGAAAGGAAAATGAATTTAGGAAGGGCTCTGACGAGATGCAGTAATTGAGGCTGGAAGGGGTATAGTTTGGTGCTGTAGGAGTACTTACCACTGATTGAGCTGCCAAGTGGGCCAGATCCACATGTACTCAGAATGGGATCAGAAATGCCACTGCAGAGGACGGAGGGAGAGTTTGGAGATGAGGTGGGTGAGCTTGGTGCAGAGGGGCCCAGTCGCTCAGCCAGGAGAGTAGAACCTGCAGAAGGAAGTGAAATGCTGGTATAGTTTCAGTTTTTTACTGAGCGGTAGTGTGACATAGTGATCAGAGAGGCCCAGATTCAAATCCCTGCCACAACAACTGCTCACCCACAAACTCACTGGTTGTTTTTGGACCGGTCACTCTCTCTCCCAGCCTATCCTACCTCACAGGGTTATTATTAGGAGAAAGTGGGAGAAAGAGAACCATCTATAGGTCACCAACCTTTTTGGACTAGTGAGCACATTTTGAATGTTTAGAGAGTGCTGGGAGCGCCAGTCATAAAATGGCTACTCTAGGGATGGAACGTAGCATAATATAAAATTCAAGAGACAACCAGCCCTGACAAGCTTATGCTTATCATGGGAAGACAGCTATGTCCTGCTGGTCATGGCTATGGAAATCACACAATACCTAGACGCACACAGAGAGGGAGAAACATACACTGAGGCCGTCGCTGTCTAACAGCAACAGTGGGCATTCCTCAGTATCAGGAAAAAATACACAAGGTCACCACACTACACTGACTCTCATTTCACAAAAATTGCTCAGAAAGTATTTGCACTTTTTATCTCACAACTTTCTTTCTGGGAGGGCAAGAGACTTAGCTATTCTTTTCCTGAAAGCTCAGAGTACTGGTCACCTGCCCAGGGGCACCAGTGAAAGCCTTCCTGGGCACCATGGAACCTGTGGGCACACGGTTGGCAACCCTGACCTACACAGAGAAAGAAGTGGGTTATAAATAAACCAATACATATAAAATAGTAAGATCTGGCATTGACATTAGCTAGTTAGCAATTCTGGACAAGAGCCTGGAATCTTAACTAGGGATTTGAACTGCTGGCACCATTGTTATTTGGTAAGATACCCACCCATGCTGCTTCACACAGCTCCTTTTTTGGCTACCAAGAAGCCCCTGTGGCTGGGACGAGGGGGCTGGTGGAACTGCAAGTATTGAGATGCGTGTTATTCTAGATATCTGAGCTGTGGAGTGAGAAATAGCCGTCATACCCAAGGCTCAGAAGACCAGAGGTTTGCGTCAAAACACCCTGTAAGCAGTATCTGCATTCTGTTTGCTCTAAACACATCAATCACACATTGTGCTTCCGTTGCCCGGCACTCACTTATTTCTGTTTACATGGAAACAATCGCCATGACACAAGCCTCACGTAATTGCATATTTAAAAGAAAAAAAGTCAAATGAACAGAATGAGCATGGCATCAGGTGTGACGAAGAAACAGAGTGACAAAGAGAGAAGGCTCCAAGGCACAGTGACAGAGTGTATGTTCTGTGCGCAGAAAGACTCAAATTCAGTCCATGGTATCTGCAGTTTAAAAGGATCAGGTAAAAGGTAACGCAAAGAAGATCTCTGTCAGTGACCCTGCAATGCCGTTGACAGGCAGACTAAATAGGAAATGCTGGACCAGATGCACAGGTATAAGACAGCTTCCTATGTTCCTAAAGAACAGTTTTGGCCTCCGTCTCAGCAAGGAGATGCACAGGCTAATGTCCTTGCAACAGGAGCTTAGCCATCTAAGATGTGAGTGTTAAACTGGACCACAAGAGGAATCATGGGGTAAATTTATACCAGGTGCAGATGACCTTCCCTACAGAATCCCTGGGAGTTAAGATCAGCAGAGGGTCCCTCTTAGTTGTTCCAGGGGTTTATGGGTGTGTAGCAGCCCAAGAGAAGACATTCTCAGTGGCCGCCCCTAAACTGTGGACCTCTGGCCCCACAGAGGCATATCTGCTGTCTTCAATATACAACTTTTGGTGAATGCTGAAGAGGCACCTCTTTACCCTAGCTTTTGACACCTGAGATGTATATTTTTAGGACCCACCTTGTTTCTGTGATTGCAAGTTGATTTACACTGTTTCTAACATTCTGTTTTAATTGTAGCCCACCCTGGGACTTTAGGGTGAAAGGCAGGAAATTAATAATATCAATACTATTATTATTACTACTAATAATAATACATCACTATGGTGGAACAAATCCCATACTCATTCGAATTCTCCTTTTTACATTCATTTTAAAGGAAAAGAGACATCTCAAAAGTCTGGGCTTGGCAATCCTAACAGAGAACTGAAAGCAGCAGTCCCAAATCCATTCCTGAACCCTATTTTATAGGCCAGGGGAGGCAACGGGGTCCAAGCTGTGTTCCAACATTTGTTCTTTGGAAACAAACCTTATGACAATATTAGGCTTTATGGTAACTGTTTCAGCTCTTTGCCATTGCTGGTTTAGCAATCTGCTATGTTGATTTTGCCATTTTTAAGGGGATATAAATGGCAATAAAATAAGTAATGCTTCCCATGTAACACTGCAAAATGCCAAGGTCATTGAGGACAACGTTCTGAGGAAAGGCAGCTGTTTCTAATGGACCGTTACTCAATGTCAGATTTTGGCTAATCATGGCAGAATCCTTGGCTATTTTGTTCTGGCAGCCAATGCAGCTCTGCTGTGTGTGTGTGTGTGTGTGTGTGTGTACTGATTAGCATTAAGTTCAGTAAAGTGGGTGGGCAGGATGGGCAGAGAGGAAGGGGGAAGCGATAGCTTCTGGCTCAAAAGCTGAGCAGGGCTGACCATTCCCAACCAAGTTCACAGGCAGATTTTGTTTTCATTGGAAGGCAACTGTTGATCTCCATTAGAAAATACTACAGTAGTACCTCTGGATGCGAACGGGATCCGTTCCGGAGCCCCATTCGCATCCTGAAGTGAAAGCAACCTGTGTCTGTGCGCAGGTCGTGATTCGCCACTTCTGCGCATGCGCGTGACGTCATTTTGAGCGTCTGCGCATGAGTGAGCGGTGAAACCCAGAAGTAACACGCTCCGTTATTTCCAGGTCGCTGCGGAGCGTAACCTGAAAACGCTCAACCTGAAGCACATTTAACCCGAGGTATGACTGTACTTCCATGAATCCTGTATTGCTCCAATTGAAAAGAAACAAAGTGGAGAAAGAAAACTGCCCCATCCATACAACCTGATCAAAATGGCTTGATAGACCAGGCATAGGCAAACTCAGCCCTCCAGGTGTTTTGGGACTACAATTCCCATCATCACTGACCACTGGTCCTGTTAGCTAGGGATCATGGGAGTTGTAGTCCCAAAACATCTGGAGGGCCGAGTTTGCCTATGCCTGTGATAGACAATGCTTTAATGTCAGAGCAACCATTCATGGCTACCTCCCACTGAGCTACAGTCATTATCCAAGGGTCTAGCACAGGCCTGAAATTTCGCTGAGCCCTTGTAGGCACCCAAGCTCAACATGTCTGACAGCACTCCACAGAAATGGGTCACTTCAAACAGATTTTTATAATCTGTTTTAGAGGCCACACACATGGGACAGCATCCCAGCAACCCTCTGGAGGGCGGCTCTAAGATGCTACAGCACACCTTATCATAAGTAATTCAGTAGGGAGCAGTGTTTTTGCCTACCGATTTTCACAGCAGAGGTCATCAAGTATGCAGTGCAGCCCCATTAGGGCTCCACATTGCAAAAGATCCCCACTTTTCAAGTCTGGTGGCCCTCCAGTACAGCGATGTCTGATCCAGGAGGTCCCCCTCCTTATGTTTATATGCAATGGAACAGTGTTGTTGTTGTTTTAACCAGGCTCTTCAGGGCATTGAAGGTCTTTGGCATGTGCACGAGAGGCCCATCAATGCAGTACTTTCTTAAAGGTGCCTAGAGCAAAATGTGGAAGCCACTCTGACTACCACAATTCATAATGCGTTGGGATGGGGAGGTGCAACACAGGAAGCCACTGGCCCATATGGTTCAGCATTGTTGACACTGAGCGGCAGCAGTTCTCCAGGGTCTCAGACAAAGATATTTTCCAGAGCTACCTACAGATGCCAGGGATTGAACCAGAGACTTCTTGCATGAAAAGTAGGTGCCCTACTACAAAAACAATGGGACAGTATGGTCAGCTCAGGGCCATCTGTGGTGCTGCAATTCCTTCTTTACTCTGTGCATCCCGCTTACTGCTTCCAGGAAACTTGAGGCTTTCTTAGACGTTTTAGAGTTTCTTCTCAACCACCACTATTATCAGTGTCATGGGATGGTCTGCTGCAGCCCTGTGCATAACCCTGTGTAAACAGGCCTGTTTGCACCAGTGACTGCTATCTGAATGTTCTTGGAGGCAGGCTACCCCACACCCATTCCTCCAATCTGTTCAAATGAAGGGAATTGTATTGTATATTGTAAACACCCTAGCAAGAGAACAGATCTCATATACACACAACAAAGAGAGAGACATTAAACAGCAGCCAAGAAGTATACAAAACAAAAGGCTTCCTCTCATATTTTTGACCTAAATGAGGCTCCATACGCAGGGAGCAGCATGGGTTATATGTCCGTGCATCAGAGAAATACCAATTTGTCTATCTTGTGGCGACGGCAGCAGCAGGAATGCTGGGCAGCTTCACACAGTGGAATCAAGGAGCCTCCATTTTAATTCCCCATAATGTTCCCAATGTACTGTAGCTTCAGGGCATTCTGGGAAATTAAAATAGCAGCCCATTTCCCCTAAAAAAGGGGGAAATTCTAGCAAATTAACATGGTGATTCCCAGATCCAGGACAGGCCTCAGTGGTGGGTTTTGTCAGGTTGCTAGGGCAAACCACGCCCACATTCCCAAAAGGAAACTGCTGATTCTGCCCCACACCCACACCAGAAAGGGACTCTAGCATGGAGGGTAGCAGGGCTTCAATCTTTTGCCTCTCATTATAGTCCTGATCTAGCATTCATGAAAAAATGGTGTTCAGTGGCAGCTGTGATTGCCACTGCTGCCAGGAACATACTTCCTAGACTCTGCTGAGATTCAGTTAGAGATGCACTGTACTCATTCATACACATGCAGTCAAAGTGCTTGTTGACTTTTTCAAATATTTTATATACACAAAGAGCTGGAACCCATGCTCCAGGCTGATTGCTCAGAGAGATCTTAAGCTGCCAAGATGGCAGAACATATGATGGCCAAGAAGGTGCAAGTAATATTTTTAGAGCACCGAGGCCTCTGTGCTCTCAGTCCAAACAGGTATGTTTCTTCTCCAGGGTGGAACTCTGGGAGGAAACATGGAAAACACACACACACACACACACACAGGTCTGCAAGCTTGAATAAGAACTTGATAGCCACTACAAGAAGGTGGTTAGCCTCTCAAGTCCACTGTCACAAAAAATCTCCACCCAGCCCTCCATCCTTGGATTAGCTTTGCGCTTTGAGAAAGTCAATAAGGGATGAATGAATGGCTAAAAGCATGAAGTTTGGACAATGATTTTTTCAATGCAAAAGATGTAAACCTGCTGATAGCACAAGGAAGGGGCTAGATTGGTTGCTGAGACAGCATTCAATCCACTGGTACAATGGCAAGGCCAGGTTCACTGGGATGCACTGTGTGAGCTATCTTTATCTGATTATGATTAGCATTAATGTATGAATAACCTTTCACATAAGTCTCAAAAGTGGGGATAAAACATTGTCCTGCAGAATCCCATAGCATAACTGTCAGGGGGCTAACAAGCACTTTCCCAATGCTACTTTTTGAACTCAGTCCCATAGGTAGAATCAGAACACAACCTGTTCTTAATATATTCCCTCTTCTCTTGTATCCTTTTGGGCAATAAAAATCCTTCATGATGAGCTTATCCATGTTTACGCATGCTTACTTAGGCGCTTGTCAACAGGGCCTGCCTGCCCATGAGGTATGCTGAGGCAGCTGCTTCAGGTGGCCAAAGTTCATGAATAAAGGTAGCTAAATGGCCATTCTCCTGCACTGCTGTTGTAGCAACAGCCTCTAATGTCTAGGCATCAACACTTGCAGCAAACATCAGCTCATACTCATTTCATTTTCTTGGCTTTATGGGTTGCAGACAGATATGTACAAATGTCTGCCTGAATAGCATTTCCTGCCAGACTCACTCAACTTGGACATTTTTGCCTACAGACAATATTCAACTAAATCAAAGTGCTAATGCACGGATTAGCTCAAGCACAATGGGACTTTCCCCTCTTCTCACCCCACATGCACCCTATGCTATCTATGAATCTCCTCTTGAGGTTGAGGGAGCCCCCAGAACAGATAAAGGGGAGCATGGGAAGAGGAGAGGGGGGTGACATTCTGTTGTGCAAGGAGAAATCCTTGCACTAATAGAACATCCACCTTAGGACAAAACAAACCCAAGGAGGTTAAGACAGCCAGCAGATCAGGATGGACTAGCACTTTGCTCAGAGTTATTTTACACCCACTAATTCACTAACAGCACATCAAAAAGTTTGCTGCTTTAAAATTTACTGCAGATTTTGCTGGACGCATCAACCTGCTTGTTAGCAGGAAATTTAGTCCATTTTGTCACTTGCACGTATGCAGAAAAATCTAAGCCATTCCAGCATTTGTGCAAGAAATGGGGAAGCTTTGGCTGCCATGAACAGGCACATCAAAATTCAGAGAGGATGATAAACTATCTTGTTTCCAATTTATTCGATATACCCAGACAAAGGCATAAGGGAGCTAATATATAATTATTACTAACATCCCATTTCATCCAGAGCTGTTTTATTATTCTGATGGAGAAGACGATTAATTTGCAGTCTCACAGAAGGAGAGAACATAAAGTTTATGCATGGTGTGTAAGTCCCTTGACTATAACTTCATATCATTTTTGTTTGTCAAACTCAATCTGTTAATTTTTGCTTTCTCTTCATTTCTAATTTTTTCAACCTTAAGTTCAGTTCTTTACATTACCACATAAGTGGAATATACACTTTTTAAATACAATTTTTGCCTACTGTATACATTTTTGCAAGCAATTTCCCCTAATATAATTAATTTTGTATGCTATTTTCACAAACATATGCACAAATATATGCAAATGTCCACTGATATTTGAATTTCTATACACATTATTTGGTTGAAGAACTGAATCACAACATTCAGAAAATTTCAAAGAATAGCTACAGTTCATCTGTTAGTAAGTTCACATTCAAATGAAAACTGAACAGAATTTCTCCCCCCTTTCAATCATCTTGTGGATTTTGTCCATCATCCATGCAGCTGCAAGAAGATGGGCAACTGGAAGCAGGGAGGGGCACCAGAATTGATTTCCCCCTCCCCAGTTGCAGGGTGCTCTACCAACTGATGTGATCAAGAATTCCTGGGTCAAGGATAAATTCAGATAGGACAGTGTGATCACACCCACATGCAGCAGCCTCAGGTACTTGCAAAGGTGGCAATCAAGGAAATTCCTTATACCAGGTTGTGATGTTTGCACATCTAGTCCAGTATAATGTGCTCTGACAGGCATCATTGAATCACAGAACTGTAGAATTGGAAGGGACCCAGAGGAGTTAGTACTCCAGATTCTCAAGTAGAGGTCTTTCCCATCACATGCCACCTGATTCTTTCAATGGAAGTACCATTGGACTATGCTCTACCAAAAGACTTTGGTTTCTCCTGTCTCTGCACACATGACCCTTCCTCTGTCAAGATGAATTATAATATTCTAGGGAGACCCACGCAAGGAAACAGTCTCCCATGCACATCATTGATTCACATGTCCATCTGCTTTGTGGTTTAGATGTGCTTAGCTCAGCTGTGGCCAAACTTGGCCCTCCAGCTGTTTTGAGACTACAATTCCCATCATCCCTGACCACTGGTCCTGTTAGCTAGGGATGATGGGAGGTGTAGTCCAAAAACAGCTGGAGGGGCACGTTTGGCCACCACTGACTTAGAATGTGCATCCTCTTCAGAGGCAAAAAGCTGTTAAATGCAACTGATGGTCCTGTATTTATAGCTGGATTGAGGCCATTATTCTGAGAGGACAGATTATCTAGTGGGAAAGAACAATTAGACACCAACACAGTCAGGATCAGAAGCAAGAAAGGGAGAGAGTGGCAAAGAAAAATGACACCCCTGAAACCTCTGGAACAGATAAACTATAAAGATGTTGCAGGGATTGAGTCCTAATACGATTATTTCCCTGCCGTCTGGGGATTAGCAACCTGTGGCCTCTAGCTCCCAGCACCCTCAGCCAGAATGGCCAATTGTCAGGGACCACATCTGGAGGGCCACAGGTTGTTAATCCCCGCTTTAGTTATTTCAATGCCACTTTATATTCTATCCTTTATTAGCAATATTCACAAGTGACATTCCAGATGAAAAGGCATTCTTAGCATAATTTAAGAAAACACATTGAGAAGGAAATGGAAAGCCAGCCCTAAGCCTCTTCACACTGCATGTTTCTCCTCAAGGAAGGCTCCCCATCTTCACAGAAATTGTAAAGGGGCAGATTCCAATTTGCACTAATTTCACTTTTAAATGATGCTAAAAATGAAGATCTGCTCAGGATACTATGTAATGTCAGTGCACAGCCCTTTAGCACGTGATGATTAAACCCCCTCAAGAAATGCTTGCTAATCATTTACATTACTAATGTATACTTAGCTTACAAGAGAAGAAAAATAAAAATAAAATTGAGCCTGATGGAATGGTTCACAAAGCATTTAACACAGCTAATGCCTTTCTAAGATGCACTTAAGGCATTTTTTTAATAAAAAAAATGTTTTTAGACATATACCAGAAACCCCAAAGCTGCTGCTTCCAAACATATTTCTATTAAAACACTAAAGTGCTGTCTGCCCTGCAGTTTTCTGAATACTTTAGGCAGTGAAGTGCCTCAGATGATCTGCCTGCTACATTTCTGCCTATTTAATGAGTCCATTTTCCTAAACACAAAATTAAATACATGGCTCACAAAACTTGGGGGCACCCCAGAACAAATGCTACATAAAGGAAGAGACCCATTAGGCACATTTATGTGCATTCATTGTCTGCATTTTCCAAACTTCTCTTGTGGTGTATTCATTTTAAGTTGCTGGTTAATGGCATTTTTCCAAGATAACACAATTGTTGCAAGTCTTAAGAAGGGTGGGTTTTTGTTTTTGTAAAGGAATGAGGCTGCTTCTGTGGTGAACACAACTACACAGGTGTCACCTTCTCATAATGGATCTGTGGCATAAAAACTCACTATTGCTGAGGTATCTCAGTCGTATCAAAATGAATGCATTCATTTATGTAGACCCCGAAATCTGGTGAATCTCCTCAAAACCCCAGAACTACTTTAGGAAAAGGGCTACGACACTACCAAGGATACTCCCTCCTTTTGCAGAAAAATGGCCCACCATTTCATGAACACTTTTCCTTTCCTTATTAACTCAATTTTTAAAAGGCTCTTTAAAAGCTGTGTGCTCTACTTCTACAGTGCTGAGGAGCACATTTCCCTTGGTGACTTAATGATATTTTTTCTAAGTAGTATATACACTGTCTAAATCATTAACATCATCACAACATGCCAGTCACAGTTCCCAAAATGCAAGTTTGCTTGTTAGCTCTGTTCTTTTTTGGCATAAAATTATTGTTTGGGAGAAGCTATAAAGCAGTAAGGACTAGATTTCTCAGAGCAAATAACTACTTTCTGGAATTCAAGTCATATTAGACAAACATTGGTAACAAGCCATAAGAATGAACACTCATAATAGTATGTCTATGTAATATATTAAACTGCGTGGCTGGATTCTTAAGTTCACATTTTATAGCAACATAAGGAAATGTTAGGCTGTTTACTTCAAATGCTATCACCCTTACAAGCCTTGCTCATGTACTATAGCACGGTGTACCTCAATGATAAATGTGTGAGATTTTAATGTTATAAAGCCATTTGCTTATTTTCTTTTTTTACTGAAATGCTGGTTGCACATGCTATTTAAATGAAGCCAGTGGTCAGCTATATTATTTTCTTTCAGTCTGTTCAATTTTGCAGATAATAGGGAAAAAAGAGAAGGCGAGAGTCTCCATAACCCCCAATAAATAAAAATTACTTACCCTTTTTACCATTGGAAAGTCACCACTGGCAGTCTTGCTGGGATGCCCTAGCTGGAACTGCAGGTATTGAGAAGCAACCCTGCTTTCTCCATTCTCTCACCTCCAACATCCAGTGCAAACAAGACAGGACTTGCCACAGAACCTACTTTGCCTTTTCTTTTCTTTGCTCACCCCAGTGCTATATTCTAGTGCTACCACTAGCCCACTCAGCCCAATCCACCCATTTACATAACACTGCATGTGGAAAGAGGCACACATACCCAGGACTCGGATTTGCATGACTGCTCCATGTAAACCAAAGAACATCCACAGTGGCTGGGAACAGTCCACGCACACCTGCATGCCGGCGTTTGCTCCATTGTGGCTCAAGTGCAGTTCGCCTTCTGAATTCACCATGAATCCCAAAATGTCTCCACTCTGGAGAGGCACCAGCACCCTACAAACTGCCCAGAACTCTTTCCGGTCAACCAAAGACTCTGGATTATAAGGAAGGTCGCTGGGCCTCAGGGTGCTGGGATCGCAAGTGGTCACCCCGTAAGAGAGTGTCCCAGTACGTGAAGTGTTGGATTTATTAATCTTGACAAATATGGTCTCATTGATTCTAAGGGGCCTGCTGGTGAAAACCAAAGTTCTCTCTTCTCGAGCATGCTCCAGGCGAGCCACTGTCTGGTCATCCAGGATTTTAATATGGGCTCCCCTGAGCTGATGGAAACGGAGGTCACTTTCAAGCTGGGATGGGAGGAGGTGGGAATGTTGAGAGTTGAGGGAATTCTGTGGAATGGGACACATGGCAGCCATGACATGGAAGTTCTCCTCCTGGAGGTTGAGGTCGCAAAGGCTCACAGACAGACGGGTGTCCTCAGTCTCCCTGCGTAGTGAAGGCCGCCGGATAGCCGTGAAGGATCTTGGACGGAGACAATCTGGAGCAATAATTTCACTGTCTGAAAATCAGAACAAGAGAGGGAAGAGATCACCTGAGGATAATGTGAACGTCTCGTTTACATTATCAGTTCCTCTATGAGCAATGCAAGCTTTTGCTGTTACCAATGTGTTTCCCCTTCTACATGATAAAACAGTCAAATCAGTCCATTTTCCAGTGAAATCATCTCTGTAAACATTTCAAGTACCATTTCAGGCAGACTCTCTCTGAGTCAGTATCAGATATTGAGGGTGGGGGGCAACACTTGGAAAAGTGAATCAGATGGTATATAAGCAGGATCCATCAAGAAACCACTGGCAGATTGCTGGAGAGCCCTGAAAAGTTACGCTCTGTCGACATCTAGAATATGTTTCATGGTAAAAATGAAAAGGACAGCTGAGCAGGTATTTGTCTTTAACATTTTAGAAAGAGGAGGGTGAATCCACAGCTATGCTTGTCCAAACACATTCCCTTTCTTTCCAGCTGAGTGGGGAAAGTGGAGTTATGCCATATAAAAGGATAACTGATTCACACAAAGTGGTCTTGCAAATGCATATCCAAGATGAGAATAATGGCTCTAACTCCACTCAGAAGTTGTGAGAAATGCCTAGTTTACTGGTGACTGTTTACAATGTTGATGTACTCTTAAATTTACTGCTGTCCTTAGGCTGAAATCCTATACTACCTGGGAGTAAATTCCATGGCACTCAATGCAACTTCTGGGGACATAGGGTTGGATCTAGACTTGATCTCACTTAAGAGTAGATCTACAGAAATCAATGAGGGAATTTAGTCATGACTTACTTAATTCCAACTGATTTTAATGGGTCTACTCTAAGCAGGACTAAGTTGCAGTCCAACCCAGTTTTTTAAATAGTATTTTACTGTATTTTTATTATAGTTTTATGTTTTTGTTATCAGTTCCATTTGGGTGCCATTGCGGCAGAGAACACAACTCATTAATTTATAAAAGAAATGAATAAGCATTTCAAATTCATTCATTCAGCAAAACTGAGTTAAGATTAGTACAACTGCGAGTAATGGAGTGGGACTCAGTTGTGGCTAATATAAATCTCACTGACTCCAATAAGACAGTCATGATGAACGTCACATGTTATCTGGTCTGTGTTTCCCCCCCTCAATATACTTTAGACTGTATTTGTTCTGCAGTTTAGTACAGAGGATAGTGAGGTTGGATCAGTATTTTATCTGGATTTCGGGTAAAGTTTCTCATGCATTTTATCTACTTTTTATTTTTATTTTATCTTGTCATATTTTCAAAAGTAACAGAAAGCAGACAGCAAATCAGGAAAAACTAATTCATCACCATCATCCCATATTAGCACAGTAAAAACAACAAAAAGCACTACACACAGAATGCAATGAAGAACCTTAAAAACTTTTTTTTAAAAAGAAAATCATGGAAATATTTTTTGAACAGACCTTTTAAAATAACTCAGTTTTTTACTAGCTTCCTAAAACAATAAAAAGATAGAGCCTGGCAAATATTATACAGCCAATGTGATGCTCTCCTGAAGTTGCTGGATACCTCCCACCAGCCAATGGCCAGGTATGATGGAAAGTGCTGTCCAATAATATACAGAGGGACCTTTTCAGCCACAAGCAGAATTGCAACTGACATTCCACACCTTCAGAAGTACTTTTTCTATGTATACAATCTGCTAGGTTCTATGTACATTGGTGGGTGTGGCATAGTTGCTGTGGGCGGGGCCATTCGAAGCTTTACCACAACCTTTACAATGGCCAACTCTACAATTCTATGATTCTATGACATCATTTATGACCCCTGCTTATTTGTGCAAGTAATGTCTTCATTAGCGAGACCTCTTTTCTAGCCGTATGTTTTAATGAAGGGCAGCATGACACTATTAACACCATCGTGCTATGATGTCTGTTGATTTGTGGGCTGCTCACTGATAGCGCTTCCAGTCAGCAAGACACCTCGCCAGGGTTGTTGTCTTGCCAGCTTTTTTGTTTCAGTGAAGTACTTCCCTTAGGACCACAAAAGTATGTCTCAAGTGAGTGCTGACAGGCAAGCCATCTGTCTTTGATTTGGTTTATAAAAAACATTTCAGCTACAGGGCTTGTTCACGCTTATGGTTTACTCCTAAGGCTAATTCCCCACCACCGCCACCCCAGTATAAAGTTTGGATTAACCTGCCTTACCCAACTCACTGTGAAGTTGTCTGAAGCCTAAATTAGACATCATTCTAATTGAACAGTTAGCAGCCACATTCAGGTGTTGTTGCTTTTTAAAAAACAACCCAATACAAGGTTCATTTTCATCTGTAATGGCAGTGCCCAGTGAGGGTCAATTTAACCCCTTCCTCCTCAGTCAAACTCCACACACTTACGCTCTGTAATGAGCCTTAGGAGAAAGAAAAGCCTGCACTGGGGCTAATCACTCAGACCTGGTTTCCACATGTAGCAGCATGGAGTATTGTTCTACTTCAAGTGGTGTGTGTGTGTGTGTGTGTGTGTGTGCGCGCGCGCGCGCTATTTTTGAAAGATACTTTTTAAAAAACTCTCTTTATAAAGAAAATTGTAAAATATCATGAACTAGGCTAGGTTGGGCTGATTTTTATCCTCATTGCACTAGCTGTATAACGGCAGGGATTTTAAACACGGGGAAACATTTAAAAGTTGTAGCCCTCACCTGTAACCTGAAGTTTAGAAACTTGGGTAAAGACTTGGTAATTAAAAGTTTAGAAATGCATTAAATTAAAACAGCCCATTTTGTCTGCTCAGTATTCTACAATCTCATTCCCATTTTATGAGGTAAGAAAGAGGTGATAGAAATCTTAAGAGCGTAGGATACATTCTCCCACTTAATACTGCGATCACCTAGAAAAAGCATACTGTTGTCTACCCCACATCACATTCAGACATTATTTGAGTTCTGAAGCACCATGCAGACAGGTTGCTAGAAGAAAGGACACCACTTCTCTGGTGCAAAATCCAATGCTAATGTAAAAATCACTGGAGCCACTGGCCTGGGCAAGGGAGAGTTAAATCTCCCTTCTCCATGCACTGCAACCCCCATGAAAATTACAACTTCCCCCCAACACACTTTTCTTAACAACAACAACACATGGGGTTGCTAACCATGCAATTATTCTAACACCCTGCATGAACCTCTGCCTGTGCTTGCAGTGCTCTGTATGCAAGGTGAGAATGGAAGGGCTACTGAGACAGTGGGACCTTTGCAGAAATGGAGCCATGACTGTGCCACTCTCTAAAACATTGTCCCTGTCTGGAACCAGTCCAGTTAACAAGAATGTATGGAGGAGCAAAGCAATCTTCTGCACTGAGATTATTAAAACAATGCCTCGGTAATGTAGATAAGACATTACAGCAGAACAAGAAAAAGCAGATGATGCAGGCAAATGTAACACCAGAATGTAGAAAGCCATGATTACTAGAAAGAAGCAAGGCAGAACTAGCAGATTCAACAGCATTATTGGCACTTTGTGTCAGATCTGGTATAATGAGAACTATACAATTATTATAGAATAACCAGATTGACTGTGTAAAGGGCAACTGCAAATATATTGATACTTAAGCATGGAGGCATCTAAAGTACAGAACCTATCTTCTGACTGGGTGACTGTACTTTCTATAATAAATAACTGTAGAATACTTTCCATTTCATAACAGATACACCAGTTGCCAAAATGTTTGTGAGCACTTCTGTTATTTTTAATGGCACCAGGAAGGATTCAAACTGCTACTTCAAAGACGCAAGTTTTCCATGCCAATGTTCTAACTCAGGAGTCTTATTCTGCATCCAATGTCAACCCAAAGGGCATGTTCAGAATTTTCATGCTTCCTTCATGCCATTTGGCCAATTTGGCTGCATTTCAGGGACAAATAAATGAGTTTGCACATGTGCTTAAATGCTTTTCTGCAGATACCATCTGAGACTCTCAAAAGCATTCACTAGGAAGCACAAGAGAGATGGTCGGATGATTAACATTCATGGACATGAGCCAAGTGGCCCAGAATGTCTTCCTTGTAACAGGAGCAATTTAAGTGATACCAGTTTTTGCCCGAATAAGTGCTCATTTCCCAGGCAAACCTACTGCAAACGCACAAGTCAAAATTTGGAAACTATATTAAGATACGCACTTTTTGCATATGTGTACAAATTATATTACAGGAAAGTAAAAAAAGAAAATGCTGAAGACCTAAGATGAATCATTTGCTAGTCTTATCTATTAATGTCAATTTAAATGTTCTTTGCATCAGGAACAGCTGCAAAGCAAATAGCTGAAACAGCAGCTCTAATCTGTAACTCTAGCTCCAAGGGCTGGTTGAAAGAAGAAGGGAACCAATGAAGGGCATCTATAGCTATCCATGCCAAATGATGCGTCTGAAAAGCTCAACTATTTGGTGAATTTGCATTGTATGTTGGGCTGATGAATGCTTGAGAGAGAATCTTGGCAGGCCAGCTGGTAACTTTTGTTCTTCAGCGATACACATAAAATTATGTATGTATGTATGTATGTATGTATGTATACTTTTAATACAGGAACTGCACTTGAAGCATGCTCGTGTTGTTACAGATTGATTGTATACACCAAAGCCTCTGCATGAATGCTTGCTGGACAAGTTCACTTAAGTTTGCAAATTTCTTGCCCCCTAAACAGCCTATTTAGTCATCTTTCCTTCATGTTCAGATTGAATAACCTCACAGAAGTATTAAGAGGAAGGATGAAAATATGAGTTAGATTCATATTAAATTCAACTTAATATAGGTGGTTTCTCATGTTTGCCTTTTCTACCTTGTTCTCAGCCAAATGTTTCCACTTAGCTGTGTTTTCTAATCAGTATTTGCCAACATAATCAGTTATTTGTTCATCTGTATTTTACCTGATTGATTCCTGAAAAAAATTGCAAAAGGGAAGGAAACTGGGTTAAGCTTGTATTTTTAATATTTCTTACTAATATGAACATGTAGTGAAAATATTTTGATTAATGTTTGATTCCTATTTAATATTCATATTTAATGTCCATATGATACCTGCCAGGGCTGTCACAAGTTCTCATTCTTTGTGGATAATCTCACACGTTTTGGTTAACACAGACTGGTGTGTGAGAACATACAGTGGTACCTCGGGTTACATACGCTTCAGGTTACATACGCTTCAGGTTACACACTCCGCTAACCTAGAAATAGTGCTTCAGGTTAAGAACTTTGCTTCAGGATAAGAACAGAAATCGGGCAGCGGCAGCGCGGCGGCAGCAGGAGGCCCCATTAGCTAAAGTGGTGCTTCAGGTTAAGAACAGTTTCAGGTTAAGTACGGACCTCCGGAACGAATTAAGTACTTAACCTGAGGTACCACTGTATCTATAAAAAGCATCCTGTAACATTATAAAGCTGCTTTCACCATGGTACAGTAAATATGGGCATGCAGCTGCAGTTCAGGTAGCCAATGGATCTAAATGATCAAGTTCCTGCCCACTTGTCAAATAAAATAGTGTACTACTAAAACAAAACAAAACAGAAATATGCATTTATTTATTGGAATCTGTTGGGGTTGAGTAGGTCACTCTTTAGGGTCTTTAGGGTCTATGCCTACTTCCTTGCTACTCCCAGTGCCAATCTTTGTGTAGCTAGCTAAAAGGCACCTGGCCATTTCAAACCTCTAGCATAAATATACAAAGGATGAAGAAGTGCAGAAGTGCAGGAAACCAAGAGGCAAATTGCTGTGATTATGTATTTTCTTATGTTTGTAACCTTTCAAGATGGGACTTGAGTAGAAGAAATGTGGATTTCATCTACATCCATCCAGGCACTAACCAGACCCAGATCAGCTTAGGTTCAGCAAAATGGTGGCCTGCTGTGCCGTGAGACCATATCCGAGGCGACATATAGTTGAAGAAACTGTACTTCCAACCCCCATGCTCAAGATGAAAACATTTTGTAGCACTTTTCCAGTTTTTATATTGAAAATGATGGAATGTATTCAAAACAGATGAAGATGCTTGATCTCATTTGTAGGTCTAGTGATTAGAAAGGGCCACATGTGATCCAGGGATCTTGCTTCTCACCTGCTTGTAAATCCTACGCCCCATCCTCTTATCCTCTTAACAAATATCAAATTCCACCTCAGGAGCTATGACTGATATAACTGGATGGACCACTCTTGCCTAATTGCTCATTTTGTGATATTTGTATTTCATTTAAAAAAAAGACAATGAACAGATATTTAAGTTTGTAAAAATTTCTGCAAAGTTAGTTATATCAACATCTAGCATTATGCCTCCACCTTGTCACATGTGGAAAGGACATAAGCAAACTTGAAATCCACTCAACTTAATCTACATTCCTTTATTAGATTTAATTTTTTCCAGATCAGTGAGCTTATTCCATAAGCAATACCACATAGCCACCACCAGAAATATACAGGTAAACAAGCAAGAAGAAAAAGCACATCACGTAGTCACCGAACAACAGTAATTTGGAGGTGGGATTTTTTTTGGACCGCAACACCACTGCAATGCCTTTCTGGCAATCAAACCATGGGAAATCTCCAAAGTTGTAAAGCACAAATGAAATCAAGTGTGCACATTCTCAACTTTTGAATTGTTCAAAAGGAAGTGATCCATGTAGGAACCAGCCTTTTGATTGTCTTGCTTTTCAACTGAAGAACGTTTTAAATCTCGTTCATAGCAGTTTTACATGAGCGTCAGGTTTCCTGGGCACCAGCAGAGTAAGCATCTACGCTAATAGCTATTTGGATGGATGGATAGTTTAATGCCGAAAGCAGGTTGCTATGGAGAGTGTGACACAGGAATCTGAGATGACTCAAGTGCACTGGTGCACAAATTGACACAGCCTATAGCTTCTGTTGATATTTGTTGTTTGCTTCCCTCATCCCAGTACGATGGAAACAGATCAAAGGCCAGAGTATTTGAAGTATGCTATTCATCCTCCCCCACTCCCCATTTTCCTCCAGAGGCTCCAACACTATGTACAAAATTATATTAAACATCATGCACGTAGAAATCCTTTAAGTGGTGTCAATTATTCTGTGCTGACTTCCATGTGCTCCAGCAACCCAAATGTGATCCCAAATCTTTCTTCAGCAACCAATCCTTACTTTTTAATAAGTACTGTTGGTATCTGCTTTTGATGTGAAATAGAATGCTGATTCCCACTCCCACGTTAATTGTCAGCATGAAGAATATGACCCGATACATAACCACTGAACACCATACAAAAGTAACTAAAGCATTACTGCTAGCTATCTACCCATTCACCCAAGTAGAAGGGCATTTGCCTCTCAACAAGGAGGAGACCAGAGCAGTATTAGGTGTGACAAATAGTTATGTCCACAGGAAAGTCAGAAGCACAGGATAGAAACAGCATGGTAGTTCTACTACACTTGGACATACTGCTCTCTCAAGTGCCAAATAAGAGCAGAATCAGTGGTGTAGTGGTAAATTCTGGAGCACAGGAGTTCATCATACCTCCAAGAGAGTCCGTAAAATGAAGTGAGTTATGTTGGTCCACTATTATACACTACTCAAAGAGCAGTGGTACAATGCATAAAATCCACTTTATGATTCAGTATGACTGCAATCCCATGCACAGTTTCCTAGGAGTAAACTGATACAAGTTCCCTCAGGAAACATTTTTCATTAAGCCAATAAAATGGCTGAAATACCATTTGTTTTCTTTCTCATGTTCTAGAAGAATCATGTTCTTAAGAATAGCATAAACATTATGCCACCATTCCTTGATTTCTAAAAATGTCATATTTATATTATGCAAAGACATTATTTACAGAATTCATAAGCATCCTCCGTGTGAAGTCCATCTGGCAGCCAGGAGAGGGTCTTGGAACTTGTTAATTTGTTTACACTGTAAACCACTTCATAATAAGTAAGAACGTTCTTAATGCTCATGTGCAAGAATAAGGTATGTGAGCATTGCACTATAGTTAGGGCTAACCCTTCAAATCCAGTTTCTAAAAATGTAAAAGGAAAGGGGATCATTTCATTCTTCCCTTTCTTGATACCAAACTGGTGTCTTTATGAAAAATTATTAACATGCACTCAATTTAAATTATTACTTTCTGAGTGCCATCTGTCAGAAAAGGTTAATGACATAAGAAGGACATAAAATGATCACGATTTCAATACTTCAGTCTACTGTCAGTCCTATCTACTATTAAGGAGCTCATTCTCTGAATACCAATGTAGAGACAATAATATCATCCACACACATGGGGTGCCAGCAAGCTTGGGAGAATACCAAGATTTGAAGAAGTATGCAAAAAATATGGGGTGGGAGGTAATGAAGAGTTATTTTTTTAAGCACAATGATAACTCAGTGGCCACAGAATGCTGAGAGCTATTGGTTGAGAAACAGAAAATGGGATTGGGGGAAGGGAAGGGAGTTTCCTGGCTGATTGGTTGGCTCTAACCCTGAACATGAGCACGCCACATGGTACCATTTTGTTGTGGGTCCTGCTTGTGAAAGCTCTTGGGGGGGGGGGGAGACAGGCAGGCATAATGAAACTGAATCGGCACATTTGTCTCCATCATTGTAACAAGACATGAGGCCAGTACCAACCAAAAGGTGAAGCTTTTTTCCCCTCCTCCATGCAGTTGTGAACTCAAGCACAACTTTAGAATATTACTATTCCTCCCATATTAGTAGCAGTACCAAGTAATTCAATCTCATAGTCTTCCCCATCCCCCATAGGCTGTGGATTCATCTTATGAGCTCTTGCATTGTTATAGTGTTGTTACTAGATTACCCATTAAATAATTCACCAACAACATCCAGTAATGGGTTTAAAGCCTTTTGGAGAATTTGCGAATAACTTATAGCTGCTGTTATTTAGTATACCAAGGGTATGAGCATCAAAAGCTGAAGACAGTGTTTGACAGCCTCTCATCAACAGACATTGATATTACAAATTCTGCACAGCAGAAACCTTAACCCTCAAAGTCATTTTGAGCAGCTTTTGAAAAATCTCATCCCTTCAAGGACTCTAGGAAGAATACTTATCCCAACTGCAGGATTAATGAGTCTCCATGTTGGGAAAAAGTAACATTTGAAACAAGTACAATTTAAAAACCAGGAAGCTAAAATGTAACACTTATATCAGTGCCATCTGCACCCATGTAACTGAGCTCTTGTAGGTCAGGAGTCTACAGCAAGGAACCCATGATGCTGCATGACTACTTTGTAGTTGCACACATTGGTAGGATTCTGGACTATTTTCAGACAAGAACAGCAATGGGGTAAGAACATGCTACTGTCTTGAGTAATCGTGATAACATGCTTTTTCTACCACTAGGAAGAATAAGCATGTATACCTGGTGTGATGGGATGATGAGCTGCTTGTGCGTAAAATCGTATCCCCTCAGAGTTTGTTCAAGTCCACAAACCTCTGTCTGTGACGGAGCCCCTCAGACATGGCTCCTCTAGTCACTAGCAGATTCCGACAGTGGTTGCTTTCGTAATCGCTTCCAACATAAAAGCTCCTTAACGGAAACACGTCTTCTGGACTCTCTGCGTGACAGTTTCCGGCGAGGAGTGGGTGTTCTTACAGGAGGTCCTGAAACCTCCCCACTGTTTTCGCTGGAAGTGTCTCTGAGCCATCCCTCCAGCTCACTTTCCCTCAGCTCAGCTCCTCTCCCCTGCTGGTTCCCTCTTCAGCTGCTGAGTCTCTCCCAACCTGTGTGAGCCCTTTCACCTCCCTGCTGGTTCCCTCTTCAGCTGCTGAGTCTCTCCCAACCTGTGTGAGCCCTTTCACCTCCCTTCCGTCCGATGGCAGTTCCCTGACATCCACCTCCCCTCCAGGGCCCCCTTCACCCCCTCTCGCCCCTCCTCTACGGGCGGTGAGGAGGCAAACCCCGGAATGAACTTCCTTCATCTTCCGATGTCTCGAACACTTCTCTCCACCTGTTGCGGTTCCTGGTCTCGAAGTACTCCTCCTCCTCAGAGTCCATCTCCCTTCCCCTTCCGAGTCCGGGAATCCTTCCAACTCCTCCCCTCATCAGTGGTCCCAAAGTATTCCCTCCGGAACCTCTCCACAGGCTGAGGTTTCCTTGGGAACCTTTGATGGAACGTTTCTATCAATACCTCGTCATTGATATCTTCGGCCATTACCCAAGTGTTTTCTGACTCGGTTCTCCTTCCCACGCTACCAAATACTCCACCTGATTCCCCTTCCACCTGGCGTCGAGGATTTCTGCCACATGACTGCTGCATTCTCTTTCTTCTATGACCGGTCCCCCAGTGGCCATCCCTCTCGTCCCCTTCGTACGGTGACAGTAACGACCTGTGAAATACTGGGTGCAGTTTCATGTGGTTGGGTAACCGGAGCCTGAAAGCCACTGGGTTGACCTGTTGAATGACCTCAAAGGGACCCAACCTCCTGGGTCTTAATTTCTTACAACCTCCTTTGAACGGCAACCCTTGGGTTGACAGCCACACCCTATCTCCCACCCTTATGGTTTCACCTTCCCTTCGGTTCTTGTCTGCCTGCCTCTTGTATTCTTCCTTCGCCCTTTCTAAGTTGAGTTGGAGCTGACGATGGATTGCTTCCATTTCTTCCACAAAATGCTCGGCTGCCGGGACGCTCCATCTCTCCCCATCTCCCCTGGGAAAGCCCTGAGACACCCATAATTAGCCAAGAAGGGGCTCATCCCCGTGGGACACATTCCCTCATTGTTGTAGGCGGCACTCCACTGCGCCAACTTTTTCTACCCAGTCACTTTCTCTGTCATTGACATAACACCAGGCATTGCTGGATGACCGCTGCCCTTCCGCCTCAGTCTGCTGGCTCTAGGCGCCGGGCAGCCTGCACTGATCTCCACCTGTGGTCATGAGCTCTCCAGAACCTGGAAGTAAATTGCTTCCTCGTCTGGAGACCACCTCAATGGCACCTCAAAACCTACAAAATAACTTCGCTGTCTCTTCCGCCAGACTGCACGCTGTGTGCCAGCCACAAAGTGGCACATCTTGTTAGTGTGGTCTACCACCACCATGATGGCTAAGCTCTCTGGACCGCAGACTAGTCATGTACCCATCGCACTGCCCTCCCAAGGTCGCTCTGGGGCTCAGTGGTTCTAACAGGGCCCGCCGCGCCCGCCTTTGGCTCGCTGGCATTGCTCGCACTCCTCTTACATACTCGCACGCACATCTTCCTCACCTAGCCACCTGTGTACTCCCCAGACCAAACTATGTGGTTTTGTGTTGTCCAGAATGCCCGCCGTAGGGCTGTCGTGGCAACTGCTTGAGTACCCTCCCCTTAAGTCTCCTTCAGGGATATACAGTGCCTTCAGACACAAAGCCCATTTCTTCTAAACCCCTGGCTCCCTCTCCCTCACCCCTGCACCCTGAGCTATTCTGCGATTCATCATTCTCTGTTTCTACCAGTCTTTCTTTGTCCCACCACAGCCTCCACACACCCAGCGTGTCCTCTGGAATGACATGTTCCTTCGGTGCTCCTCTCCACATTCAGGTTATGGAGAGAGCATCCACTCCTAATGCTCCCCTGGGCCTGGCAACGTAACAAATCTCAAAGAACTTGGAGAACTCCTGGTCGCATCCACTTGCCGTTGGCTGAGCACTTCCGTGCCGTCCTCCACTCAGGTTCTTGTGGTCAGTGCAACACTTGCACCTTATGTTGTGCGCCACTAGCAGGTGCCTCCATCTCCGGAACGCCCATGAATGGCTAGTGTTCTCGGTCACACACCGTGTAGTTCCTCTCGGACTTGTTCAGCTTCATAAAAAAGGCACACGGGGTTTCCACTCTGACTCTTCCTGGCTGCAGAAGCACCAGGCCCCACCGCTCTGTCTGGATGCAAGGTCAGTTTCCACTCCATCGGTTTTTGTAAATCCACATGCAGGAGCTGTTGTTCCGAGGCTAAGGCCCTTTTAGTTCCTCGCCGCTCCGCCCTCAGTCCAAACTGCAACTCTTCTTACTGCTGAGACAGTCCGTACGGGGCGCCGTCAGGTGGGCAGCCTGATGAACCACGAGTAGAGTTCCCAAACCTAGAACTCTGCACATCCTTCCCTTGTTTTGGGTGCTTTCCATTCCAGCACCGCCTGGACCTTGCTTCTGGATCCATGGCGCGAAAGAACTTCATCGTGTCCTTTAGATCACTATCTGCTGCCATCAGGGGTTCAACCCAGTCTCTACCCAAGATGCTCAATCACGAAAGCCACTGCGGACTCTCGTCAGGGAATTCCATCAAACCAGATTGAGGGTATATTGCATCTCTGTCCGAAAGCCATGATAGGCCTTGGCCCTCAACTCTGCACCAACTTGGTACCTTCTCTGGCGAGCTGGGTGGCTTTCCTTTTGGTCTGCATCCTGAGCCCTCCTCAAGCCTCTGCCTGCATCGCTAGCTGGACCTCCACCCGGTAATGTTCTCTCTTCCAGGCTTGGACCCGCTGCCTCCCAAGCCCGGTCCGCTGGGCTGCCTTGGCGATGCCTTCCTGCACAAGCTAAGCCAAAGACTGGGCCGGAATGCTGTGTTGGGATTATGAGCTGTTTGTGCGTAAAATCGTATCCCTCAGAGTTTGTCCAAGTCCACAGTCCTCACCCAGACGGAGCTCCTCAGACATGGCTCCTCTAGTCACCAGCAGACCTGGACAGTGGTTGCTTTCAGACCGCCTTCCAACATAAGCTCCTTAACGGAAACACGTCTTCTGACCCTCTGCGTGACAGCTTCCTAAGGAGGAGAATTTACAGGAGTGTCCCTAGCTCGACTGTTTTCGCTGGAAGTGTTCTGGAGCCATCCCGGTCACTTTCTTCCTACAGCCCAGCCCTCTCCCCTGCTGGTCTCCCTTCAGCTGCTGAGTCTCTCCCAACCTGTGTGAGCCCTTTCACCTCCCTGCTGGTTCCCTCTTCAGCTGCTGAGTCTCTCCCAACCTGTGTGAGCCCTTTCACCTCCCTTCCGTCCGATGGCAGTTCCCTGACACCTGGGTATTAGGAAGTCAGGATTTCTGAGGACAATATATGCTCTTTGACTTTTTAGATGGTAGGAAGTAAGAATGCCAGCACTTCTGAGTTAACGCCAGGAAATTATGTGCTGCAGCAAAATCCTCAGGCCTCTGTCATGGCTTCTTGAGCCATATCTACTCATTCTGTCAAGAAACTGCACTGAGCAAGACAATGCACTGTTTGGCTGTAATGATGCTTTAAGGTTGGGAAGTGAAGATACAGCTGCCAGGCCTGAAAGGGGGAAATGATGATGCTATGGTTGCATATGCCAACCTAGTAAGTCCAGAAGGAGGAGAAACCAGCTGAAGTTACAAAACCCATTGAGATAGTGACAGAGTAGCACAACTGCTGTGTGTCCTGCAATCTGGAAGTACACCAAAATAGATGATCAAATGGAAATCTGAGGATATGAAGAATTCATGAAAGGTAAAAATAAAAACCTTGGCATATCAATGCCAAAGAGCAAAATGCAAAGGTTGCTATTTTCCATCTACACAATATTATGCATTCCTGCATACTGGAACTAAGCAGAAGATGAACAAAATAACCCACATCTCTATGGTTGTGACTCTGCCAGTTCAAGAATCCATCATGTTAGACACCCAAGCATGACAATACTTCATGTCAGCTCTAATGATAATCGTTATGTCATGCCACATGCAGTTTGCTGGATATGCACACCCATCAGCATGTCAGCTGCATTCTAGTTTTCTGTATATGGCAGGAAAACATTCACACATTCACACTGATTTCCAGGTCATTTTCTGCTTTACAGAGCAAAGTCCAATTCATATATCCAGTCACCTGTAAGGAAGACAGGTGCTTGAAGCACATTCTTTATTATTATTAAAATTTCTATACTGCCCTATACCCGCAGGTCTAAGGGCAATTGTCAGATGCTGGTGATGGTTGCTCATGAGTAACCAGGCAGGACTCTGACCTGGCTTTTACAGGTTTTATTGTGCAAACTATTTACAGTGCAGATCCACAAAGTTGATATCCGTCTCAGTCACTTGCAGAATCCGGGGCTGGCCCCTTCCGGTTTCTCCCCCAACGTAAGAACTTCAGCACCCCAAGCCTCCTCCTTGCGTTTCACCCCTCTGCGCAAGCTGGGCGACTGAAGGGGCATGTGTCCCTCCTGGCCAGCCTGGCTAGGTGAGGCGCTGGGGCTCCCAGCAGCATCCTCAAGCCCTTTCCTCGCTTGGCTGGCCCCTCTCCTCTCTTCTCCACTGGAGGTGTGGCTTTTCCCACCGCTGGAAGAGGAACTGCTCCTCAGGAGTTTTGGAGGCTCTCTGTATTCCAACAGCCCCCCTGCCTCCCTCCCCTGTTCCAATGGCAGTCCCCTGACAGCAATTTTATATTATATTATTATTATTGAAGAAATTCCCTGTGCAGTTATGACAATGTTCACCATAGCATCACAGCTCCCTCCACCACACCATCACTACCTATAAAAGGTGTTCTATGAAGGTATGATGACAACTGCAGAAATTGTATGGGCAGTTGCTTTAAGTTTACATAAACACATCACTGCTTCCTATGAACAGCCTCTACACTGCAGCATTTCAAAAAGCCACTCATGAAAAGGGCTGCATGTGCAACTTTAGCTCTTCACTAACTAGAAGGAAAGTAGATGAGTCTATAGGATGGGTTGTTCAACTTATTTCCGTCTTTTTTAAAGCTATCTCTGCATTTCAGCCTATCAGTTTGGCTGGCTACCATTTTGTCAACTAGCATTCCTCATTCCCTGCCTTTGTGCCATGATAACCTGCTCTCTTATCAACAAACTGGATTTTCCTTAGGACAGAGAGGTGGATAACATCACACTGATAGTATTTCCAAAAGTTGTGGAGATGAGCCTTTCAGCCATTCAGTCCATACCAAATAGCCCTTGGAGACAGATGATTTTAGTAAACAATGTAAAACCTGTTTTAGAATCATTTTGATAAAAAATTAGATGCCATAGATTAGGGGTGCATATTCCAGACATATGAAAGTCATTATTCTGGTTAGTTTCTAAACAGAGTGAATTGCTCTTCTCTAGTTCCTTGACTGAGAAGAGGATAATGATTTAATGTTTTACATAAGCCTCACTTCAAGTGACTATAATTCAGTACTCATAATGGACAAGATAATGCATCAGGGACAGCTAAACACACAAGTCTGCACAAGCCACAGCCATTAAGATGTTTTATCACTTCAATGGGATGAAGATTTTTGCCACAGTCCAATTAACTTTCTGAGATATCACTGTTGCAGATCTGACAGCTTGTGAATCTGTTTATTCATCTTTTGCCAATGTCAGATAGAATCTTGCATTATTCATATTATATTATTTTTAAAATATCAGACCTGGTTACTCCAGGGTCTTGATATACCCTGTCAAGTTCAAATCATGTAATGAATGAGCTTTGCAATAAACAAAGTATTTTACCATTATCATGTACCCACACACAGTTTTAGGAGTGCAGATGAGTCAATTTGTAGTAGGCAGCAGCACAGAATACATGAGGCTTTTCCTACAATCCCTGTGCAAGTATTGATTGGAGGGCCAAAGGAGGGGGAGGGTCACTCTCCGATACTATATAATACACTCTTGCCCTATATTTCTCACTACCCTCTGCCTAAAGGAACAATACCATCCAATATGTTCTTGGCTCCCATAAATGAGGACTGCAGAATTCTTGTGCTATTTCCTGTGTTATGGAGAGAATGTTGGAATGTTTCACTAGACCCAATTCAAGCATTCAGCCCATGTTAATATCCTTTTTACTAGAGAGCATGTGCCCAACACCATGTGAACAACATTGTGGCCGCTCCCAGATGACCCATTTATTGAGCATTTATCCTGCTTTCTTTGCAGGGAGTTTAGACAATGTTGCATCAAAACAAGTGCTGTCCCACAATTTCCAACACATTTCTCTGTCCCTTTCTTTACCTTCAGGTTTGTTGCACAAGACCTCCTAATCAACTATAATAGTGCAATCTACATTTGTCTGTATGTGACTGAATACCACCCAAAAAATAGTGGCAGTGAAAGTATCATGTATGTGAGCTAAGCTATCATGAGCATACAGCTGGATTTGCATGTTCCTCTCCCCCTTCCAACAGGTGTAGGAAGAAGACATACATTGGGTGAATTGCACATATACTTGTCAACCTTGCACAGAGTGTCATTTGTGAGATGGCAGCAACATGTGCCCTTGCTGCCAAAGCCAGTTCACAACAGGTGAAGGACACTATTATGGGCTCAAATGCCTGAACCAGACCTGAGAGAAACCCTACCAGAAAAAAGGAGATTTATTCATCTGCAAGATGAGATTGCTTGGTTATCTGCATGTTCAATTCCTAAACACTAAGACTTTCAGGATAATCTTGGTACACTGCTGAGTATTCAGCAGCAGGTCTTTTGAGAAATGCAACAATGAGGCTGGATTATTATAAAATGGTCTTGCATACAGCTCTCTCCTCAGCCAGACCACCCACAAGCGAAAGAGCAGAGATATTGTGCACAAAGGCCGATCATAGATACACAGAAAGGATATTAAATCTGCAGGCTATATAGCAATCCCCCTTCCTGAGAAAATAACATCCAGTAAATTTCTGACTCATGCTCATTTTGTTTCAAGGACTCCAATGGAGGTATCAATACATATCCTTTAAAAGTACGCAGAAAGGAAAGAAATCCAATTTTCATGGCTGCACCAAGATGAATTGATTCTGAGCATAAAACTGGAAAGGCTCTGAAACTACGGAAAGTAATGTTCTCCACGCAATGAATTTTCATTCCAAGATGTAGAATGAGAGCATTCTTCACCACTGGGATGCCCTTCCATCAAAAACACAAGACTGTCAAATTAGAAATTACTTCCTGAAGAGTGGGGGGCAAGAGAGGATGTTCTCTCCTTGCATCTCTCTATGACTTTACTAAATAAAAGTGTTACAGAAGGAAACAAAATCCACTATTAACAGAGTAACTGAAAGAGGCAGAGAGAGAGAGAAGTCATTCCCAGCTCTCAAACTGACTGAAATGCAGATGACAGTAAGAAAGAAGAGCAAGGACAGGAATAATGTTCTTCCCCATACAACAACCTGAAATGAACATTAAAAGTAAAGAAAATGTTAGTCTCGCATGAGGTGACAGGACATTCTCCAACAATTGCTTTTCAAGAGCAGTTACTCCACCCCCAACCCCGCCAAGCTGGATGGGGTACTCCTGGCCTACTTATGCTGTAGCATTTCATTTAGGATCCTCCACCAAGGCAAAGAAGGCAACTTAACAGGATTTGGAGGGTGGGTGTGCAAAGGTCTAGGTGGCCACTCTACTTGTCTCCCTCATTGGTGCTCTTTACCAAAAGGAATGACCACCACTCCAAAAAGGATGGATGTGCTCTGTCTGATAAGCTTCCATATTACTTGCAAAGTCACACTGTAATAATGGCCTTGGAAACGTTCTGCCCCACAGAACCCATTCTGATTAAAAGAAAAGTGTTCTGTATGCACTGGTAGCCTCCACAATTCTTGTGATGGCATAGTATCTATTTTGGATGAATATGGGTCAGTCCTACATCTTCATCTATGTTTTGGCAGTCAAGATAGTCAGCCGTGGTATTTTCTACTTTAGTCATATGTTGTACTCTTAGATACTAGAGGAGTCATTCTGCCTAGAATCTACTTAATGATGCTTATCGTTTCCTTGTGAGCAGCTTACAACATTACCACTCCTCATCAATAGATGCAAACCTTTACTTTGGCGTTACTTGTGAACACCCTAACATACTTTTGTAGAAGTCTGTTTTTCAAATGCAGGAATGCCAGCTGATAATTCTGCTTTGCTTCAATGAGGACCACTAATTCTAAGCTATTAGGCTCTAGGTTGTGGGCTTCCTAGCTAGGTAAGCACTTGGAAGCTCTAGCAGTGGAATGCCCAACTGAAACCAGTCCTCTTCATTCCACTACTAAATGGAGTCTATAAGTTGGTGGCTCATTTGCCCAGAACTTAACTGAGCTTTACCTTAGTTTGGAGCAACAACCAAAACCTTTGATATGGAAGGGACTCAGCTGCTACCTAGTTTACTGTCAAGCAGGAATACATCTTTCCTAGGACCTATCCCACACTTATAGCTGTTCTAGGAACTCTAGGGCTACAGATCTGATCCACACTCTTCATGCCCCTGACACAACAATTTAGTTCCTGGTGTCCATGAAGCTGCACAAATTTCTGTCATAATGCCTAGGTTCCTTTTCTCAAGACCCTTCAGACTTCGGGCCAATTCTTTGTTTACACACTTACGGTCAGGCTGAGAAGTGAGTTAACCTAGGATACAAACACGATTCAAATTTTCATAGTCTATGGACTATGAGAGGTGAAATGGGCTCTTGCCATTGTTGACTAGCCTGTGAAGGCAGTTCAGAGATTTTTGGAATTGTGGAACAAACAGGCAGAGACTTTTTGCTAGGGCTGTAATGAAGGACTGGGCCCACCATGAAATTAGAAGCCTTGGCACATCCTGCCAAGGTCAGGATTACTCTGTAAGTTGGAAGCCCCTCCTTCCCAGGAAGTAACTTATAAGTTGTCTCTGCATCCTGTTAACAAGGAAGAAGCATCCCAGTAGTGAAAAATGCCCCCCAACTACCTCCTTCACACCCACAGATATATAGATATAGATATATAGGCCAATTGGAGAGAGTGTTTTCAGGGAAGCTGCAACTGTGACAGAGAAGATTTTAAAAGATTAAAATATTATTTTCAAAAGAACTAAATGTATGTTTTGGTCCAAAGGCATTTAATGGAATGTAGAGGTGCAGGAACTGTTTGGACTATAGCCTGCCAGTTGTTTATAGTAGAGTGATTAAGAACACCATTGCTACTGAAGCTGCCATGATCATCCTATGCTTAGAGCCCTTGGAGATAAACATGGCAAGTTACGCCTCTCACTGCACTTTTAAACATATCGCTGCAACAATACCCAGATGGGAAAAGCTGCACCAAATTCCTAGGCAGGCAAAGCTGGGTCAAATCCACTCCAGCCAGCTTGCCCACCAGATATGGTCTTATTGCATACAGACTTCATGTTAAATAACAGTGCCGCCAGACTGGGAAACATTTCAATGGAGCTAACAAATATCAGATAGATGGAGAGATAGAAGGGGGTACAGCATGGATGCAGTGTCCCTACTCCATCGATGTCTCATCCGCCTCCAATGCTATAATTCCTCCTGCCAGTTACCACTGATATGGAGGCACATCTAGTGATCTTTCCTCTGCTGTAATCGCCCAGGCAAACACTGGACCGATATTCCACTCACCCAGGCACTCTCAGCACCACTATGCACCCACCATTCATACATACATCCACTATCATATATATTACGCATCCACTTTAACCAATTACCAGTTTATATTCATCTGATAGATACAGTGGTACCTCAGGTTACAGGCGCTTCAGGTTACAGATGCTTCAGATTACAGACTCTGCTAACCCAGAAATAGTACCTCGGGTTAAGTACTTTGCTTCAGGATGAGAACAGAAAGTGCGCGGCAGCGGGAGGCCCCATTAGCTAAAGTGGTACCTCAGGTTAAGAGAAGTTTCAGCTTAATAACGGACCTCCAGAACGAATTAAGTTCTTAACCCAAGGTACCACTGTACCTATATATTGTGAGTGATGGGATTGTGGAGTTGTGTCATCGATACTGGGTGGGTGCTGAGGGTTATCATTTAGATTAGGTTGGTGCCAGAAGTTGTTAGATGGCAGCAATGGTCCAGTCCCATCACTCACAAAATCCTATTACACCCCTAGTACCCTAGCTCTCAGTAAAGCCCCAGTATCAACCACTAGGTACCCAGCAGCACCTCTGAAACATGCCATTGTCATTCTCAAACACTCAGTACTGGGTATGCAGTCACTAGTTGGCCTCTTATATCATCTTGTGCACCCTGGTATCCTAGCTCTTACTTAGGGCACCACTGCAGCTCAGCAAGATGCTTCCTACTTTCACCCAGGAGCACCCATCAAACATGCCACCCTCAGTTCCAAACACCCTCACACATTCAAACACAGACTGAAAAGGCAATGACGCTCTTGCCCTCATGGTGAGCCAAAGGGCAATTCCCTTTGGTGACAGCCCACCACAGGGCAGGACCACCTATCTCTCTGGTGTGCAAGTGCCTCACAATGTCCAGAGTCTGTCACCACCTTCCTCTACGACGATCATCAGTAATACTTTGAGGGTTGCTGTGGTTTACTAGGAGTTGAGGGTGGGTAAGTGATAAACATTCCCTCCGTTCCCATTCTTCTCACTGCCAAAAAGTTGCAGAGTCCAACAACACACAGCATCTAGTTCAAGACACTGCACATGCAATACTCCTAAAGATATTTTCTCAGGCTGTCTTCAATTTCAAGAAGACCATACCACATCTGTTCACACTGAAGGCTTATTTACATAGACATATAGAACTAGTGTGAAGGGAATCATTCCAGTCAGTTGTGTTTGCTTGCTGGTGTAAACATTCTTAGTGTTGTTAATTTCTTCATCCACTAACACAAATTAAAATATCTAGAGTTAATTAGAATCCATGTTTGAATCTGACCTGTATAAATGTACTGTCCCACCAACTGAAAAGCTGAAAGCAATAATAAAAAGTGGGTTCTATGAAGGTAAAAAGGGGGGGACTTACTTTTGTCTAAACAATGCATAGGGCTTCTGAAAGAGTGGTAGAAAACCCTATGAGCCATCCCCATCACTGGGAAGTAAGAGAAGACCCTCAGCACATTATAAGGCTGATGTTGATGCGGTTACAAATGGCTTGGTGCCTTCTATAATTCATTCTGCCTAGAGCTACCCTTAAAAAAATATTTGGAAACCACTACTAGCACAAAATGTGTCAACTGACAGGAGTCACGTTACCTTATATTAGTATTATATCAAGATCCCAAAATGTTTCCTGACCCAATTCAAGGTGTTGGATCTTGCATTTTAAGCCCTCTGTGGTTTGGTACCTGGATATCTGAAATAACATCACTCCCTGCATGAATCTACATGGACACTGCAGCCAATGGAAAGGCTCTATTATGTATAGTAAAGGTAAAGGGGCCCCTGAGCATTAGGTCCAGTTGTGACCGACTCTGGGGTTGCGGCGCTCATCTCGCTTTATTGGCCAAGGGAGCCGGCATACCGCTTCCGGGTCATGTGGCCAGCATGACTAAGCTGTTTCTGGCGAACCAGAGCAGCACACGGAAACACCGTTTACCTTCCCGCCGGAGCGGTATCTATTTATCTACTTGCACTTTGATGTGCTTTTGAACTGCTAGGTTGTAGGAGCTGGGACCGAACAATGGGAGCTCACCCCGTCGTGGGGATTTGAACCACCGAATCAGCAAGTCCTAGGCTCTGTGGTTTAACCCACAGCGCCACCCGCGTCCCTTCAACTATGTATACCTCCACTTAATAAAATGCAGAAAGAAGAGAAGTATGCTTAGTTCTTCTTAATAGCACTGGAATTCTGGAATTTATTGTCAAGGGAGATCCAGCCAGCCACTTCCCTAAGTTGTACCATCCTAGCACAAGAGGGATGTAGACTCCAAGATTTGGATGTTGTTGACTCCAAGATTTGCAGAAGTGCAAAAAAAATAAATATCTTTAGGAGGGAAGAGGAGGTGGGAGGGCAGGTCTGAGGAAGACTGGGCATGCTCAGTAATAGTCATGAAATGCTGGCTGATTGTTGGGGTAGGGAGGGAAAACAGGTGAGTATAGAAGAGGGTGCAGAGTGGAGTATTCTGGAATGTCTTTCATGGCTGGCTGGTTGGCATCCTTGAACAGGAATACTTCACACTGCACCAGGCAACATTCATTTCTAGGTTCCGTATGTTTTTACTTATCTATATTCTTTTTTACAGAAATGTTCACAGTTTACAATTCAGGGTTACAACTCATTAGGCATGGTACAAAAGGGCATGGGTGAGAAAAGAAAATGAGCACATCAAGTATAATGGCCACAGCACAAGACAATTATAGGAAAGGAGGAGCCATGTTGGAATTAGAAGGGGGCATCACTATCCCGCCTCCTGCAAAGCTAGTTGATTCAGACCCTCAGGCAACGCTGTCCAATGAATCCACATCTCTCAAAAATGGGCACAAAAAAGCTGAGCTATGCATATGCTGATCTAACCAATAATCAAATTCTTGAAACAGAAAATTGCTCACATGACTGTGATTTCCAGGTTTGTTTCTTTCAATATATATAAGAAATGCAGAGAAGTGCATGTTTAGCTGGTAAAAGTGACCTCCTGAGGTCAAACTACTCTGCTTAATCATTTGAAAAGTATTAAGAGAGATTGCAAAGATTAATTCCCATAATAGAATATTTGCATTTCAACCCTTTTGTTTACTTTTGCTCTTGGTTTAAGAAATCATAATGGGAACAATGACATCCAAAATAAAATACATTACATAACCATCAATTAAGATGATGTACCTTTTCCGCTAAACAATGTAATAAAATACCCATTCTCTTAATTTTCAATGGCATCTGTATATTTTGATTTCACAATGTTGACTTCTCTGTACTAGGAAAGTAATCCTATTTAATCTGTTTTTAGTAGCCAATGTTTTCTAGTTGATGTCCGACTCCATTATCTTGATTTCTTTTATTTTTAAAAAATCCTTTGGGGTATTGGAAAAACAGCAGGTCAATCATTACAAATGAGTATGTGTAGAACAGGTTTTAGATTTATATCTCAGTAGTTATTTCAGCTTATTTTTAGAAGAAAACAACCAAATGTTCTCAGAACACAACTCCTGAAGCTCCACTCTCTCTAATTTTTGTAGTTTCCCCATCCAATGCCTTTGATTAAAATTCACAAGGAAAAGTGAGGAATACCACAATTGTATGCATGTCTACTCAGAGGTAAGTCCTACTGAGTTCAACAGGACTTACTCCCAGGTAGGTGGGGGTACAGGAGTGCAACCCCAAAGTGAGTGTAGAATTGATGAAGAATTATATGTCAACAAGCACCTGAGCTTTGACACCACATAACACAGAATGGAGATGCGTAAGAAACAAGATTAAGAGGCTTCAAGACAATTGCCAAGATTAAGTCTGCCAAAGGCAATTGGAACATGCTATAAATAAAATGTCTGAGCATTAATGTCAATTGCATAAACTCATTCTAAGCGGCAGGGGAATCTGAATCCTGGTGGCAGGTGCTTCGCTGTACTGGTTATGCTGCTTTGTACTAACTGCATTTAGCTAACTGGCAGAGACAAGATATCTGCAAGACACTTCTGTCTCTTAGCTCTCGTAATGAAGCAGAGTGAAAAGCTTAACTCAGGCATCCCCAAACTCGGCCCTCCAAATGTTTTTGCGACTACAACTCCCATCACCCCTAGCTAACAGGACCAGTGGTCAGGGGTGATGGGAATTGTAGTCCCAAAACATCTGGAGGGCCAAGTTTGGGGATGCCTGGTTTAACTCCTTGTGAAGGAAAGGAAGATAAAGAAAGTAGGTAACTTGCTGTGAGACGTTTCGAATTCAAAGGGAATTATGGGTGTAGGGAAGGTTGATGGAACTTTAACATCTGTAAACGGATGGAGAGCAAATGAGTCCACTAGATGTTAGCATTGCTAGCAAACTAACAAGGTTGAGAATTCCACATGTTTCCCTCTCAAATATCATTCCTTAAAATAATATAACAATTCATTCCTTCCATCCACTTTCAAACCCAGGGACTGATTTCAAAATTATTTCTGCCTAATTATTTTAGGCATTAAAAGTGCATTTTAATGCCAAGGTTAGCTATGAGAATCTTGCACATAACCTCAAGGTTCAATGATGTGTCCTCTCCTTCCCTGCCTTGCTAAAATGGGTAAAAATCCCAGAACGATTCACATATAATGCTAGACACATTGTTTACAATATAACACAAATATTATTTTATCAGCAATATTCTGATTTTTCTATCAGAATATAAGTCACTCATACCATCATTTTGTATACATTAAAGGTACAACAATGTGACCTTCTCTAATGAACAGTTATACTAACTTCAACTCACTTAAGATTTCAGTAAATCTTAAATGTTACATGAAGCATCAGCAATATCACAGATATCTGTCATACACTATGCATACACAATCACTATGCAAAAGCTGCTAAGTATGTCAACTCATGTAATCTCAAAGTATGTCAACTCATAGTGTAAAAAGGATTGTTGTGTTAATTGGTCTTGAATTTTAGTTGAACTTCACAGCTAAACTTCCATTTATTCTGGAGCTTTGCTTTACAAGTGCTCAGGAACTCTCAGCTCACGAGGAACTCTCACAACAGAGCTTTTAAAGCACAATAAAATGATTTTTCATGGCTGTACTTTTATTGTGTAATAAAATGATCTACCAAGGATTCTCCTAGAGCCCAGGAAACATATTTTATTTTCTAAACCTAATATTTTTAAGAAGAGCAATTTCATTTAAATAGAAGTAACAACCAGCAAATCCTTCTTTCAGGTAAAATGTGAGCCATGCATAAACTATGAAATGCATTTACCCATGTCAGATGTAAGAGAGTTAAATAAGATAATGGGGAACTTTTATGGAGTGCATTCCATGCTTCAGAATGTGCACCAATAGTCTGTCATAACAAAATTCTTCTATTAATGATATTTATTTTCATTATGATTTATTACTTCCAGACCCATTTTGTTTGCTTGGTCTTTGATGTCCTTATGAACAAGAGTGAGGAATGTAAGGTTTACATGGATGGCATCAAGCAGCACTTTCTAACAACAAACACGGTCTGATTCTTGTTCTGCTATGCAGACAAAACATGGGTGAAACTCCATTGGAATTTGTTTAACACTCCAGCTTTGCTCAGGCTTATTAATTAAAGGACAAAGGTGGGAGATATTTTAAGGCTGAGACTACTAAACATATGAACCGAATCGCTTTCTACCATTTTGCATCCTGTTCAAGACTGGATAATAAAGTAGTGCTGTTTCCAGAGGGTTGTACTTTTTCCAAAGGGACAGCTATGATAATACACTGCAGCAAAAGCAACAGAGAGTCCTGTGACACCTTAGAAATGAACAGATTTATTATAACTCAGTTGTAGAGCACATGCTTTGAATGTAGAAAGCCCCAGGTTCAATTCTTGGCATCTCCAGATAAAAAGATGTCAATGTTATATTGGTTTTTATGCTTTCAGTGGGATTGTTGTATTGTTGGTTGATTTTATATATGATGTATCCTACTCTGGTATCACTTGTTAGATGAAGGGCAGGTTAAAAATTAATTAAATAACAGTTCTAGAATGTGATCTGGTTTTTATTTGAAAGCTTCCTTTGCAACAGGGCCGTGTGCAAATGTTGAAAATAAATAAACAAATGTGGAAGCCGTCTGCCTGAAACACTGGATAATTGCTGCCAGTCAGAGTGGACAATCTTGGGCTAGTTCCTCTGTCCCTAGATGACATGAGGCCAAACGGCAATGAAATGCAGTGATCAGTCTGTGACAATTCTATATAAAAGCACAAGATAAATGAAATCTCTCCCTCACACACATGACACTATCACATAAAAAGCTTATACTACAAAAAAATGTTAGTTTTTTAAGTTTTTAAGGTGTTGCGAGACCCTTTGTTGTAATACTGTTTGTACAATGTACAACTATTGGCCTTAAGAAAGATGATCATTTATCACAGCACAAGCAAAGCAGCACAACCATAGGGTCTTTCTGACTTACGATAATTAGAAAGAGATAAGGAACTGTGACATACACATTTCAGAAAATGGCACTACCAGAAATAATAAGGTATAATGGATTAATCCAGGTAAGATGTGTCCAGAGAACAGAAACTTTTGCTTTCAGCAATAAGGTGACTTACCCTCCCATGACAAAGTCATATTTTCCAGAAATGCACCTACCTAGCAGCTGCACTCCACGTGTGAGTCCATAGACATCAATCAAAGCCCACAATGGTTCAGTGGTCCTCACTCCACTGAAGAACAACATGGCGGCAGAGTTATTAACCCGGTAAAATACACGTCCCTTTTTGTCCACCCAGAACGCGATGATGTTTCCCTCATTTGCAAATTCTTCCGGGAGGGCCTTGGCCCAGAATCCACTCTGAGAAACGAGGTCTGGACATGCATACTTGGGCAGGGTTTCTGGGTTAATCCTAGAGGGGTCCTTAGAGGTAAATCCAAGCCGAAGAGCCCCACTCCAACAGCACTGCTTCTTTGTGATCTGAAGAGAGGGAAGAATGGAAGCATAATCAGCACAATTTGAATTTTTCATTAGCAACATGTCATTGTCTAAGGGATAGAGAATAAATGTGTGGTGTAGCATTACTGAGCTGATGGGGACGAGTGCTTGAATTTACTGTATGTGGAGGAGGGAGGAGTTGGAGGCTTCCAGCAGTACTGGATATGAATGGGTTTTAGAAAAGGGGGTTGCATTAGGAACTATATGATTGCTTTGCAAGTGGTGGAAGGGGTGAAGAAACACTACTAAACAGCAATATATTGTGTGGGGATGCTCACCCCCCACAAGGTTATAAGTGATGGCAATTACTTGGAGATTCAATGTTATCTGCAACCAGATCACATAATGCATTTTTGTCTACAATGAACCACTCTGACTTTCCCTGAACAGGCACCCATGTAGCCTATTCTCATGATTGCAGTAACAAACATGAATATGTGATTTCTGCTGTACTCTTTCGTCTCTATTATTTGATTCAGTGCAATTAGATAGATCATTCCAAAGATGAATGGATTAAAATAAGTAAGCTAGTTACCCTTTACACAAATTAAGGTGTTGAAACCCATTGTGAAGTAAGCAACGCCAGAAAGCTGGCTGGAGACTAAACAGGAGATATTGTAGAAGCTATAGGTCTGGAAATGGTAACATTTATTCATTCTCTGAATTACTCATGAAACCACCTTTCATCAATTAAAATGAAGTGGTTTACAATAGGTCAGATATAATAACAACATTCAAATATACAACCAACAGCACACTGATTAAATAAGGCATTAAAACAATAATCAGGAATTTAAAATATAAATCATTACAATATCATACAGCAGCAATCATCATCACTGAATTTCCATCAACTTTCCAGGTAAACAGATGATTCTTTACCAGAAGCCCAGTAATGTAGGTGTCATCCACACTTCCAGGGGAACAAATTCCACAATTGGGGGTTACTACAAAGAAAAACCACAGGGACGTGGGTGGCGCTGTGGGTTAAACCACAGAGCCTAGGGCTTGCCAATCAGAAGGTTGGTGGTTCGAATCCCTGCGACGGGGTGAGCTCCCATTGCTCGGTCCCTGCTCCTGCCAACCTAGCAGTTCGAAAGCACATCAAAGTGCAAGTAGATAAATAGGTACCGCTCCAGCGGGAAGGTAAATAGTGTTTCCGTGCACTGCTCTGGTTCGCCAGAAGCAGCTTAGTCATGCTGGCCACATGACCCGGAAGCTGTACACCAGCTCCCTCAGCCAATAAAGAGAGATGAGTGCCGCAACCCCACAGTTGGCCACGACTGGACCTAATGGTCAGGAGTCCCTTTACCTTTACCTTTTTACAAAGAAAAACTGCATGCATTCTGTATGTGTGCAAGGGAATGCAATACTGAAATAAAATCACAGTAAAATAAAATAAAATCCAGCAGTAAAGTTTTGAAGACAGGAGCAAGACTGCATCAGTATCTTTGTGATTTAGGGCCTCTGGATATAGCTGCAATAACAGCAACACTCAAAAGCAAAAATAAAGTTTAACAGCAAAGATATCCAGTGGAAGCTACAAGTAATTTGCTGGTATTTAAGCAGATTGGGGTTGTTTCTTCAGATAATTACATATCTGTATCCACCCTTATCCTTGGTACCTTATCTTAGATGTGATGCTTGCATATTGCAGAGAGTTGCAGGGATTGGACTAGATGACCCTTTGGATCTCTTCCAACTCTACAATTCTTTGATTCTGTTATCCTTATCCTTGCAACCCTTATCCTTACAAAAGTTCTAAAGACTGATATTAAAAGCAGTTTATTTAAGGACGTGAGTGCCAAGTGGGTAGGTCTCTTGCTAAGGTGGTTGGATGGCATCTTGCATGCCTGCTTCCGTCAACTGCTACAGCCAAGGTGGTGCCAAATGCATTGCTTTCCTTTCCTTTGGACCATGTCAGTGAGGTGGAGAGTGGGGTCTTGTCTTCTGGCCACCCCAGGACCTCCACAGACACTGTCCAGGCTTGCTATAGTAAAAACCACATTTGCCTCCGCGCCACTTGTCAGACTATCACATCCTCAAAGTTGCAAGAAAATGCAGCAAAACAAGCTAACTGTACTGAATGTGTAATAAGGAAGCAATAATAGTAGCCTCATTAATCACTTTTTTTAAAAAAAACAACAACTGTGGGATTATTCATCATAGCAATTTTATTGCAGAACTGCGGGAGCTCGTGGGAAGGAGATAAATGGTGCTTCATCATTATTGGTTTTATACCATTTTATCTGTACTTTACACTAACTGTATGAGATAGCCAGTTAAATGTTCAAACAATGCAGCACACAAGGCACTCCAGCTATTAATCCTGCAAAGCAACACAGGACAGGGCCCTGGAGGACAGGAAGGGAAAACAGCGCACAAAGCAAAAGCATAAGCAAGAGGATTCTGCTGTGCCACAGAGACCCCTGGGGTATATTCTCAACTTGTATTCTGGGTCTTCAGAGAAAGTAGTTGAGTGTTGATTTAAATACATCTGAAAATACATTGACTATGTTTGAATGTAATGCTAAACTATGGTTTAGCAATAGCTGCACAAGCAGAGAGGAAACTATACAAAGTACAACACTCATGTGCTCCCCAAGAGGAATAAACCAGGGTACAATTTCACTTTTGCCACTTCCCAGTTTGTCCTCACTTGCAGATTAGGTGTGTTAATTTCAAATTAACAAACAAGTTTATGGTTCCTGGTTTGCACACAAGCCAGGAACCACCAAACGCAAAACTGAATCCTGGTTTATTCAACCTCCTGACCATGTGGGGAGATGATAGGAGGGCAGGGGAACACTTTACTCAGGCTCACAGAAGCTCATGTGCATAATGCTAAGCCATAGTTTTGCGCTCCATACAAACCCTCCCATTGCGAGGTCCTGGTATGCCATATGAATTTTGGTTCTCACAAAGAAGTGAATGGGAAAGGCATCAACTCACCTTCAGCCTGACTTGCTCATAGATTACAACTGCCCTGTTGCTGAAGGTGATGGCATTACAGAAGCTAGCCTGACGCTTGACTGCCTTCTGTGTGGTGTCCATGATGATCTGTGACCCCTTGGTATGGGGGTGGAACAGCAGTGGGCTGACTGAGAGAGTTCCACACTGTGGGATGGGCAGACAATGCTTTTGCTTGTGGTGGCATCGGTGAGATGAAGCGGGAAATGGTCCACCTATGGAGTCTGAGATAGAAAGGAAAAAGAGAGAAACTGAGCTTGAAAAAGGAAAAAAATCTGATGAAATTCCTAAAATGAAATCTACTATTGCTTAGCTGTGAGACTAATATACAAGAGACCTGTGGGGTAGCATCAAAACCTCCTTCAAACACTTTACATAGATCATTTAAATGTACAGTCCTGCAAACCCATTTAGAACTTTGGGACATATGCAGATTGTACAAGCAATCCTGAAGAAACTGGGGGAAATAATGAAGGGCAGAACAAAGCTCATACTCCAAAACTGAATAGCAGTTTGCCTTCTATGACTTTGGGAGGTCATAGATGAAGGCTACAAATAAAATTCCCATAGCACACAGCTTCCCTATGCATTCATGTAGGGCTTTAACCTTCAAATGTGCATATGGAAGGTAGCAACTGAATCACTTGTGTTTAATGAACAATAGTAGGCAACTGGCTGTTACCTTGAATTACCAGCTGATATATATTGGTTTAAAATGCTGTGGACAATTTGTAAGAGAACAATGGTTAAAGGTTTTGAGGAAAGCTATGGGATCTCCTTCACTAAAGATTTTGAAAAGACCAAATAAGCAAATATATCAAGGAGATTTAATAGGAAACCTACATCAGTGCAGATCAATTAAATAGCTTTCTTGGTTATCTGATTATTCATTTTAATTACTTACATGGATGCCTTAGCTTTGGTCTATAATCCTGTACCTGGGGCTCTCTTGTGTTGCTCACAGTGTAACCTCCCCATGGGGAAAGGTCATAAGCCAGTGGCAGAATATACGCTTTGCGTGCAAAAGGGGCTAGATTCAATTCTTGACATATCTAGGCAGTTATGGTATCTAGATCAGGCTTCGTATAACATGCTACACAAAGTAGCTGCAATGCAAAACAATCATTTTATGACAGAAAGTAGTTAACCACATGGATGCAAAACAGGGAGTGGCTGTATGGAGATAGTTTCCAGTAAACCAGATACTGCATACGGAAATAAAAAAAGAGCAGTAGTTTGTTAATGAATGGATGAATTCAACAATTCAGCAAACTTCCAAACACAAGCTTTATGATTCTTCTGAAAGGCTGTAAATTGATTTTGTCCTTCCTATACCTATCTCTCATTACACAGGTCAGCTGTTCAGAAATAGGTATTGACCCGAAACCATTTTTTTAAAAGAACAGATCCCTAAAGGCATTGGCAAAGTCTCCATCATTGCACATATTTATAATCAGGAAATAACAGGAGTGTGGTAACTAGACAGAGTTCAATCTTGTCTTGCCTAAAGCGTAGGGTCAGGTTGGATGAGTCAAGTACACAATGTGCCGCTTTCTGAACGCTTGCTATGTGAAAATTCGTTTATCTGAACACAAGGAATTAGTACGCAAACCTCGCTATACAGCACAGATTTAGATATCTGAATAGTGAGCATTCTTTACTTCCTTGTTTGCCTTTTGCTGGGTGGCTTAGAAACTGTGGTGATCTGTACTGTAAGCAAGGTTACAGAGTGTTTTCAGGTTTTTTAGGGTCAATAATTCTGTGGTCAGGAACACATTAGAAATGTCCCCATAGGAATCAATGGAAATTATTGGCTCATTATGCGAATGCTCACCTAATGAATGATTTCGAGGGAACTTGTTGCGTTCCGATAGCGGGACCTGCATGTAGTTTTTTTTCAGGCTGTGCTGTCAAGAAAGGCATGCTACATTTCTATCCTAAACTATATTAACCCCATTAGGAATTTTTTTTAAAGTATGTGAACATTAGTATGTTATGAGACAGAGTTGATTCAGGTGCTATGGGGAGAATATTATAAAGTGTCTCCAGGCACCTAGACTACCTTCAGAATGAATGTGTTTATGTGGAAAATCACTTGTTTGAAAATGCTCTATCAAAGGCTAGCTGCAGACTAGCCATGTTTGAATTTGCTAACTTTCCATGTGCACAGAGAGTTAGTACCACCCCACGTTCAAACTTCAGAAAGACCACCACTCAAGTTGCCACAATATTTCTCAAGACATTTATTATGGGGCAAATTCAGCTGTTGCCCTGCATTCATATTCATGTCTGGAGAATAGAGAAGTGCTGTAATGTTGTCACAACTTCTTGATTTTCATGGGGAAGAAAAGTTAACCAACTATTCAGTTGCAGATTTGATGTTGGTTATGAGGGGGAGACTTTCCTAAATAAAAAGCAACAGTTTGCTATCGAGTTGTATCCAGGAATGGTTTTGCCTTAGTGGAAGACCATTCTCCTTGTGCAGCACATTAGGCTTCTATCCCCTGCTTACCTAACATAGGAAACTCCTGTATATTGAGTCACACCGCTGGTTCATTTTAGCTCTGGGGAGTTAAGCTGTTCTACAAGATCAGTAGAAGAAGAGTACATTTTTATAGTGATAAGCTAGCTCTGTTGGGCACAGGCAAAAATGACTCTACAGAGTGTTCCATGTATGTTCAATAAGGATGCATCAGTTGACTTTTTGAAGTGGGGGGTCAGAAAGACAGTTGCTCAGCAAAGTGATTAGCACAAGTCCAAAACAAACATAAACTGGCACTTTGATCTGCAGATTACTGATAATCTAAAACAAAAACACAAACCCTTCTGCTAAAAAATTGTTTTAGAAATGAAATCCAATCCACATTGAAAGATTCTATGCTCTAGAATTAAAAAATAATAATCCCTCAAGGGGTAACTTGAAATGAATCTTACTGCAGTGTTAGAAACTGCTTCTGTTAGATGGGAACTAGAAGATATTTCTAGTAAGTATGTAAGTATCAAAATGGAGGCAGTGATGGCAGTATTTGCAGCTATTGGGGGCGAAGTGAGGTAGTGTTAGAAGGGGAAGCAGGTACTTCAAGTAGACAGCAATCCTTACAACTTCACTGCCTACACCAACATTTAACTCCAACTCCTAATCACAACCCTGGTAGATGGTGAGATCCAACATATTCTACTCATACCATCTTCTCACCACTGTGGTGGTGTATGAGCCTGTAAAGGTTTGTGTATGCTCTTCGCAATAAGCACACTCAAGAGACATATTTACAGTTCTTTATTTTACATATGTACAAGCAGCACAGTACAATCATGCATCCGAATCATCCAGTTCAAATTCGGGGAGCGGTCTTCTCCTGCTTCTCCTCCAACAGAAAAGGCAGGGGAGCTTCATGGGACGTCTCTGATCCCTACGCTTTAACCCTCTCCTTTCCTGTGCCAAAGGCACAGGCTCTCCGTCTGTTCCTAAACTCCCTATGTGGTGCTGGGGCTCTACTTCAGCATCGGAGAGCCTTCCCACCTCCTGGCTCTCTCCCTCTCCCCCTTCCGTCACTTCCTCTCTGTCTCCTGACTGTTTCCGCTCTGACTCTTTTCCTACCCCCCCCCCGCCCCGACTCAAAAGCATTCCTTGGCAGTCCTATGACAGAGCCCCTAGATTAAGAGACACTCTGGAGCATATCTGGGCTGTGTGCAGGATGCTAGAGAGGGGTAAGAGAAACCTAAAGTCCTGTTGCGTAAGTGGGAGGACATCATTGGGTGTCACCCCTTGGGGTTTTTTAACTAGAACCCCAAGAACTGCCAACCAAAGCTAAGTGCAGGAGACATAGAATTAAACAAGGTATCTCTGAGTACATTCTGAGCAGAGAAGACTCCCTGGAAAAGACCCTGATGTTGGGAAAGATGGAGGGCACAAGGAGAAGGGGACGACAGAGGACGAGATGGTTGGACAGTGTTCTCGAAGCTACCAACATGAGTCTGACCAAGCTGCAGGAGGCAGTGGAAGACAGGAGTGCCTGGCGTGCTCTGGTCCATGGGGTCACGAGGAGTCGGACACGACTAAACGACTAAACAACAACAACATTCTGAGCTTAGGGTTATTTGAGTTCTGCGCCTTATTCCCCAATCACTTTAAAAAAAGTAAACACTGACAGGCACAGAACAGGGTATAAAAGCCAACCTCTCATAAAACAAGACCCATCAAAAAACAACAAACGGTCAGGTGAAATAACAGCATGAAGAAGAGTGCCATTGCTGTACTGCATTACACTTCTTCCTAAGGGCACTCTCTGTCAGTATCCCTTTCCTGACCTCTGGGGCGAAAATCAACACATTTTTATGCCCTGCAAACAACTGCTTTTGTATTTGTGTCACATTCAATCACCAATGACACATCATCCTTTTAAACTATTGCCGCCCATCCACAAATTATGTCACAATTTGAAATAACTGAAAGATTTCAGCAAATGCTTGTAAGAATGCTAGGCTAAAATAGAGCCTCGCTGATCCACCAGAACTCTTCTTATGATCTCATATAGTATCAACAGTACTCGATTTAAAGATTGTAATCAGACCCTATATTAGCCTTCCCTTTTCCACCATTCAGGATGCAATCCTATGTGCACAATTCCCTGGCAGTAAGCACACTCATACTTACTTCTGAGTAAACATAACAAAGGACTGCAGTGTGTGTGTGTGTGTGTGTGTTCTAAAATACTTTTCATTCATAAATTTGATCTACGACTTTGTTATATCCCGCTCTATTCCTGTGTTTTCCCGATTTAGGAGTGCAGGGAGAGAAGGAATTTATGAAAGAGAGGAGGAGGAATTGCCATTATGGTACTCTAACCATCACCTTTTCACATATCAAAATGTAAGAACGCAAGAAGGCAGGGCCCTGATGGATCAGACCAAAAGCCTATCTAGGCAATGTTGGTTCTCCATTGGCCAGACAGATGCCTATAGCCCACAAGCAGGGCAAGAGCACATTAGATACTAATATTATGAGAACAGGAGAAAGCATTTGTCTCCCCACTTTCTCCACAAAATGCACAATTTAATACATCTGTATCATGTTTCCCTTTTTACTTGCCTTTTTTCTGAACTAAAAGGCCCCAAACATTGTACAAGAATTTTATTGAGGTGTCGTTCCAGCTTTCTGATGATTTTGCTTGCCTTTTTCTGCTCCTTTTTCATTTCTACAATATCCTTTTTGAGTTGCAGTGACCAGAACTGTACATAATACTCAAGTGTGGCTGCACCATAGATTTATACGAAGTTAATAGGATATTGGCAGTTTTAAATTTGATTGCTTTCCTAATAATCCCCAACAGAGAACTCACATTTTTCACAGCAAGCCAACATTTTCACTGACTGAGCTGCTGCTTCAGTGAGCTATAGTTAAAATTTATCATACAAATGCTGGCAAAGATTCGGGGCAATCCTATGCATGCCTACTCGGAGGTAAGTTTCATTCTGTTAAATGGGACTTACGCCCTAATAAGTGCATTTAGGGTTTCAATTGCAGTTGCTTGCTGCATTAAGGAAAACAGTTTCCATTTGGTCAGATTCCTGTTTAGCAGGCGGGAAACCATTAAGAATGGACTCTCACACTGGGAACCCCATATAAAGAACTTTCTACACTGGGGTGGGGAGCCTGTGATCCTCCAGATGTTGCTGAACTATGTCTCCCATTAGCCTGACCATTAGCCACACTGACTGCTGCTGCTGGAAGTTGGAGTTCACCAACTCCTAGATGCCCATCACTGTTCTACACAATTTGGCACCTGACAGTAAGCTCCAAATTAGGACATGTCAACCGAGGATAACGCTTCAAAAGCATCTGAGGAAGAGGATACTAGTTCACAAAAGCTAATGCCACAATAGATTAATAAATGTTTGCACCTTTAAAGTGGCAGAAGCAGCAGAGTGAGATGGCCTGCTCAGGTGGCACCATGAGGACAGCATAGATCAGGGGTCACCAAACTTTTTCAGCAAGGGGCTGGTCCACTGTCCCTCAGACCTTGTAGAGGGGCGGACTATTTTTTGAAAAAACATATATGAACAAATTCCTATGCCCCACAAATAACCCAGAGATGGCTTTTAAATAAAAGGACACATCCTACTCATGTAAAAATACGCTGATTCCGGGACCATCCGCGGGCCGGATTTAGAAGGCGATTGGGCCGGGTCTGGCCCCTGGGCCTTAGTTTGCCTACCCATGGCATAGATGAAGACAGGAGTTGATGTCTGAGTGGTGCAGCAATACTTTTTAAAGTGCTGGCCCTAGGGAGGGGATACCATCTGTGCCCTGCTTTGGACTGCAATATTTCTTGGCCTTGCACCTCTTCCCCTCTGCATTCACATACCTCTTAAGATATCATAACCAAATTTTGCTTGATGGTCCCTGAGATCAAGGAACAGGCCTTCATCCATGTTTAGTTACAATTGGATGCTATTTTCATTCAAGATGGAGGGTATGTTTGAAAGGAGAATATCAATACTTGTCTACACTTCCTGTCTTACAGAGTAATGTAATTTAATACAGACATACTAAACATGCAGCTTTCACCAGAATTGCATGCTGACTGAGTGTAAATAGCAATTCACACTTCAAACACCAGTTGTGTAAAAGGAGATTCCAGCTGTGAATATTTTACGGCCATGTTTTATTTCCATGGTCTACAAATCAACGTAAAAGTTGTTTGCTCTCCTTCAGTGGGCCTCAGATAGAGTACACTTCTTTAAAAAAAAACCATTCCTGCTGCTAAATATAAACCAGCAGTTAATCTTTTGGAAGAAAGAAAGAAGAAATGCTAGTCATAGTATTTGGGGATCTAGTTCTGGAATACTTGTAAACCTGCCAGCATTCTCTTCCAGTTTAAATACATTTTAATGGAAAGCCTATCCTGGGCACATTTTCCATGCACACTGCAGTAACTTGGAACCTATCCTATTAAATTCCAGTAAGAGCATGAGACAGAATTAGGTGCAGAGATGTTAAAAGCCAAGCCTTTTGAATATGCAAAAAAGCTGGAAAAAACTGGGAACAGTCAGAACAGAAATAATAAATGAGTAATACATAACCATCGTAAGAATTAAAACAATGGTTAAAATTCAGTGGGTGTGAATGACACAAGGCAATATCGATGGATTAAAGGGCAGGAACAGTTGTGAATCATTGTGGTGTTTCTTGTGTTATGGGCCACACAGAAAGCACTGGCTCATTAAAGTAGAATTACACTGGTCCCTGACTTTTCGCACTTATGAATCAGTATGCTGGCCTGTGAGCTCAACCTTCACTTCAGGACAGATTCTTCTTTTCTCTCCCCCCCCCCCCCCCAGTCACTGGAAACGAACTATGAGGAATTTTGCTACAGTCTCTTAAAAGGTTCAGCTTTTCACATAAGTAGAGAGGGTTGCGTGATGTTAAAGGATGAAAACTTTGCACCATGGCAAGTTAGCAGCCCATGGCCAATTCAACTTCCATAAGCAGGTCTATGGGTCCTCTGCATCCATGCAGAACCTGCACCCCAATAATATCAACTTTACCTAAAGAAAACAATGTTTTTGACCTAAAAGAAACTCTGGAGTTTTCTGTGTTTGTTTTTATCAAAGGTTTTCCTCATTTACAAAAGCACATGCACTGTCTCTTTCTTCGGGCTGTATTTTCTACAGATCAGTTACATTTGTTGTGAGACACTGGTGCTATATGCAGCATAGGGTTGGGAAGACAAGAGGGGGGGACAGAAAAGAGGGGGTGTGGTGGTAAAACCTATGTTCTTTTACTTAGTGTATGGGGGGTGTTGTGTCGGCATCACTTGGGTAGGTTCTCTTTCTATTCGCTTTTTATGTTTCCTCCGTGGTGAGAGAGGTTGGGGTGGCTGAGGGGTTGGGTGATTGCCTTTGGTTGGCTGCAGTGGGCTTTGTTTGTGCATGAGGGTGTGTGTGTTGTTGGTTTAAGTTAGCCATACAGAATCGTATGGTTTTCTGAAAGTCAAGCAAAAGCCAACAGGGAGCAGGGGTAGGAGGGGGAGGAGATGCTGCTTTGGGATAGAGTGGGATGAGACATGAAACACAACTGAAAGGGAGAGTCAACAGGGGTGAATCTTTTCAGGATGCTTGGAGATTATTGAAAACCACAAAAATATAAACTAAGATAGATCACAGATTAGGAAAGCAACAGCAAAACTCCAAGAGGATGCCAGTGTGGTTAATGAAGACACAGTCAAGGCAACTATAAAAGGCAAGGAGGATTCCTTGTGGGTTTGCTTGTTTTGCATTTTAAGAGTCACAAAAAGTTTCAATAAAATTATTCTTTTTTTAAAATAATGGACATCTTGTCCGAATGAGCAGAACAAAAAGGAACACAAACTCTGGCAAAACAAGTAAGGCAAGTGGGGAAAGAATTTGAGGAACATATTGCTTTAAAAAAAAAAGTCAGTCAATAAACAGTGATTTCTGGCTAATGGCAGATGCAGTGATGGTTCACCACAAGGTGCTCAAACTTGTTTTGAGTGATTATTACAGCTCCCCTCTTATGCCCCCTAACCCATGGCCCACAGCCCAGTTTAGGTAGACTGCTCCAGAACGTGGAGGTTCCACTCTTTTCAGATGGCTCTCAGCAGGATCCACAAGTGACTCACCCTTCCTCCTTCAGCACACCCAGAGAGGGCAAATTTTCTACGCTCAACCTCAGCTGCAATGCCGGGGCCAGTTCCTGCCTGCAGGCACATGCCCCCCACCCCCTGGCACCTCACCTGGAGAAAGGCCCTGCTGGTGGGAGGAAGGTGCCTTAACAAGAAACCAGCCCCGAAGGGACAGGAGTGGTGGACACAGGTTGAGGTGGTGAGCAGTAGGGCAACACTATCAAGAGCAGCTCATCCCAGTTTGGGCAGAAGGTAGGAGCAGTTTCTTTCCTCACCCTTTTTTTTTTGTACTTAGTGATCATTCTTTCCCCATCCCTCACATTGGTGTAAATGGGAGGGAAAAACCTAGGCTAGCCCCAGAGCTACTGCAGTTTTACTCCCTTTGCCAGGGTGTGCCAGGAAAACCAGAAGGCTTTGAACCCTGTGTGGATTCAAGGTTGGCCCCCCCCCACACAAATCCTCTCCCAACACAGCCTTTTCATTTCATACTACCATCAGAGTCAACAGCAGAAACGTGGCAGAACTTTCCAACACCACCATGGAGGCTTCTGATGGCAGGCTTCCTTCTCCATTTGCAGAGATGGAGATTGACGGATGCCAACAGCCCCTTAGCTGCCTTTCACAAGTCCTTAGGACTTATCCCTTAGTGGATTTAACTGAATTAGAAGACGGGGTGGGATGGTAGCTGCTTTCACCTGGCCTACATAATCTTTAACCAGACCGAAAAAACAGTCAAAGAAGAAGGGTGTCACTGTGGGTGTCAGGCTATGTCTACATCCACAATTCAATGCAGATCAATGGCAATGTGTAGAACACATCTGGCTTGCCTCTCCACTGAAAGCGCTTAAGAACTGATTTGGATGTAGCATTGCTACAGTTTTCCTGCTTCACCTTACTGTGCACTGAAAGAATGCATTAGGAATTATGACTGCTGCCCACTATATGCGTGTGTCCTCCTGTTCCTGGTTCATTCTTTCTTTTACTTTTGTCTTTGTTCATTTGTTTTATATGGGTTGCTTTGCATGTGCTCAGTTTCTTAGCTATGGCATGAGAGATCAAAAACCCAGAGACTGATCAAGAAGTTTGAACGGCGTACAAACATTAACACCACCTTCATGTCCCAAAGGACAGTCCTCTCACGATTAAATGCAAATGAGCTGAGAGGAAACTATACATGAAGCATAAATGGAATATCTTGCAGATTGTGCTTTTCTCCAATTCAAGAACTGAGACCAGTGTCATGAGAAATGAAGGTCAGTGGCTGGCTGCTGAAACTTCAGAATAGCTGAATGTGCTTCTTTTTTCTGTCAAGATGCCATCTATTGTCACAGTTCTGATAGAAGCCAGATGTGTGTTCCAGCAGTAAAACAGAAATGTACCTGACCATTCTCAAATTGTTGCCAGCACACATCCTCTCTGCTTTTCCTGTGTAGTGAAAATAAACACACAACCTGTGTGTGCTACACCATCCTATAAGCTCAGCAAATAGTCCCTGTTGTACACTCAGTGCTGGCTGCATTATTTGGGGGGCCCTTGACACAGTACCTTCAGTGGGGCCCCACTTACCTGGAAGAATTAGGACATGCAAACTAGGAACTCTCTTAACTTGTATCCAGTCTTAATGGATACTTCATGCAAACTGGGAATGGGAGGATCCTCAACTGTTGAGTGGTCCTCTACTGGAATTGGGGCTGTGGCAAATGCCCAGCTTTACCATTCCCATGTACATTTGTGCAGGGTCAGTCTTTCAGAAGTGATATACTGCATTAACAGTTACACCTGGTTAATTTCCAAAGCAATTTATTTTAAGTATTTTGAGACAAATTGCATTGCCTCGGCAATTAGTTTCCTAATCAGCTAATTAATAAGCAGAGTCCTTATGTCCATGTGCAATCACTGGGCTTGTTTGAAGCCAGAACTTCACTTGCTGTAATTTTTAATTTCTCTTCTTCCTCATTCGATACCTGGGAATTTATATACTCTAGGAAGCTTGGTTAGTGAGTGCAAAATGTGAATAGTCAAGAAACAATGTTGCCTAGAGCTTCATGCAAAAGTGCACATGATGTCCAGAACCTCATAAGAGTCATGGTTCGGACATTATTTAAAGTTTCTCTCTAAAGAATCACTAGATTAGTCTGTACTAGAACAAGCTTGCTGTAGAATTAACTGGTGTGAGGCACAGCCCAGTACTTTCAACTTGTTTCCTGAAAACAAAGGGCAACCACAACAAACAGCAAAGCAATTCATAGCATCATTTACACAGCAAACATAGCGAAGAAAAGGGAAAGGAAGCAATGTTTGGGAGATGTGTGTGTTATGCATACAAGAAGAACTTCATTTTCCCCTCCTTGCTTCCTTTTCTCTCTGTTTGGAAAGCTTGGTGGCAGGAATAGTGGGAGCCCATTCCCCCAGCAGCTCACTACAGCATCTCCTCTGGCAGAAGACAGCCCCAAAGAGGAGGAGGAGGAGGAAGAAGTGAGTGAGTGGCAGCAAGCTTAGGACTTTTCTGATCTGGAGCCTAATAGTTTGTTTCACCCCAGTTGTTCCCACAATTCAAAATTATTCTCAGACTGCTTTCTCCCACTAAAACAGTGCAAGTATTGTTATGAACACTGGCCAAGTAAAGCCAGTCACCCCTTTAGCTGGGGATTTCCAGGTAAACGGCTCAATATGACTGGTACATGTATCTTCCTGGGAACTAGTTGTTAGATGGTGAACTGACGCACATCCCTGGAATGTGAGAGCTATTTGGAGGAGGTGTTTTTGATTTCCCTCCATCCCCCACAACTGAAGGGAGGGGCTGTCAGAAGGTTTGTATGTGAAAAACCTGTCTTTTTTTTTTTCTTTTTTTTTTTTGAGAGGCACAGAGTGATGGCTGAGCTGCTGATGAAAGGATCTCTGGGTGCCTCTGTGGTGTATTGCTGGACTCCATCATCCCTGACTATTGGGGCATGCTAGCTGACATTGCTGGGAGTTGGAAGTCCAGCAGTGTCTGGAAGTGCCACCTTGGCTAATCCCTGCTCCAGGGAACTGGTGTTGGGGTATTAGGGTCTAGTGCCTGCTAGAAGGGCTGTGGTGCTTGCCTCCCACTTGTGTTCCATCTCATATTTGTGAAGACATTAAACACTATAAATTACCAAAGTCTCTAGTGATCTCTTCCTGCAAAAGGAAGCCAAATGCAGGCAGCAGAATCGCTGGAACTTCTTGCTGCTTGGGGAAGCAAATGGGAACTGTGCATCTGCAATATGAAAGCATATCAAAAGGAGTTTCTCTCCTCTCATAGCAGTAATTTCATGGAGTGGAACTTTTGAAATACATATGTGCAGATATGCCCTAAATTACAGCAAGTACTCAAAATAAAGTATATTTTATAACCATTCGGATAAAGTATGGTTTTTAACACCACCACATGCATGTAAACACCTTCTGTTTATATACAGAAAAACAAGGACAGCATAACACTTTTTTCCCCAGCCGCTTCTACTATTCAACTCAAAGTAACCTCAGATGTTCACTTGAAATCTGGCAAAGTCACAGGATTATAGCATAATCACTGGTAGCCCCCTTTTTAGTAAACGTTAACATTGCTTCAACATTCTTCCCAGGGTATTCTGTATCAGTTAATCCAGCCCTGAGATGGACTGATTTTAGAAAAGCAAACAAATACCATCTTTCAGACTATATAAAGGCCATGCTGTATATAGATATTTAAGAGAGCCTTGGCATCTTCATCTCACAGCAATACTCAGTGGACCAAATGTGGGGGGGGGGGGCGGCGGATGATATCTACATCCTGACACATTTGCAGCAGCGTCTAGAAACAATATATATTGCTCTATTTCAGCTGTCCTGTGTTTGTAAATTATTTACCCGTTCAGAGCAAAATAGAATACTAAAATAACTGCATCTCCACAGTGCTGAGGTTAACATTTGGCATTATCAAGGTATTATTTATTTTAATGAGGCAGTGTTTTGAACTCGGGCAGTTCCCTTTTTAGACATTTGCAAGTCAAATTGTATTAGGAAAATGTGCCTTGGAGGTGGACAAATATGCAGACAATTGGGGTCTGAGCTACAAATGCTGAGATAAATGGAATGGGGATCAGTTTAAATCCAGAAAGGTTAGGATGTTATGATGTAGGAAACATACAAGATGGAAAAATTACAAGACACAGAGCAGCTGGGAATAAAACACAACAGATTCAATGTGGCCTGGGGGGTAAGGGTAGAGTGTGTGGTATAGAGAGAGATTTGACCCTGAGAGCCAAACAGAAAAACTTGGAGTAGATCCACACCATAAAGCATCCCCACTGCACATTTAAAGCACATTACTTCGCCCATAGAATCCCGGGGAATATGGTATCCCCCTCACAGAGCTACAATTCCCAGCACCCTTAACAAACTACAGTTCCCAGAATCCTTTGGGGGAAGTCATATTTTTAAATGAGTGTTGACTGCACTTTCAATGTATGGTGTGAATCTGCCCTTGGTGGGCTGAATTTGGCCTGGGGTCTTCCCCCCCCCCCATGTACACTGATTTTCTGCTGTTAATGATAAGTTTCCAAACTATAAATGAGGTGCTTGATATAACTGGTAATGTAGCTGAATAACAAAATCTGCTGTTTGCACCAGTACTTTGTTGGTGGATATCATGTTTACAGAGCGAGGGAAGGATATGCATGCCCAATTGCACTGCCGTCAGAATCTTAATTCATTGTGAACCATGACCGGCAAGAAAATCCCTGGAAGATATGTGCAAGTTATTCACATCCATGCATGCATATTGCTGCAGCTTTTTCCTGCATAAACTAATAAGGGGGTAGGAAGGGAAATGAATTCTTGTCTATTTCAGTCAACAAACCGTCAACAGTCCAACTGTGGCATTTAAAATGTTGCTCAAGCTTCATAAATCAACCCAGAGGGCCAATTCACGTAGCTATAAAGATCATGGCAAAACGTAGCTTTTGGCAGCTCCCCATCCAGGCAGAGTTTGCTGTATACATTTCAATCATCACTATGTGGAGTCTTGTGATGTCTCTGCAAACAAACGAAAATGCTGGTTTGTTGTAGAATGTGGTATTCCACACTTGGAATACTGTGCAAAGTCCTGATCACCACATCTCAAATATAAGACTGTAGAGCTGGGAAAGGTTCAGAAGGGGGAAGCCAAAATGATGAGGGGACTGGAACAACTCCCTTATGAGGAACAATTACAATGTTTGGGGCTTTTTTAGTTTAGAGAAAAGGTGAGTAAGGAGGGATGTGACAGAGAGGTATGAAATTATGCTTGGTGAGAAGAATGTGGATATAGAGAAGCTGGTCTCCCTTTCTTATAATACCAGAAACTGGAGTTTATCCAATGAAACTGGAAGACTCAGGACAGTTAACAAGAAGGACTACTTCACACAGCACCGTTAAACCATGAAACATGCCAGTATAAGATGTAGTGATGGCCATATGGGCTTAAAATGTGATTAGACAAATTCATGAAGCGTAAGGCTGCTAGTCATCGTAGCCAGGTCCTAACTCCAGGATCAAAGACACTGTGCCTCTGAATATCAGCTGCTGAGGGACAAAAGAAAGAGTCATGGCTATCCAACTGTTGGAAACAAGATGGTAGACTAGATGGGCCTGGTTCAGCATGTTCTTTGGTTTCCCATGTAAGATTTATTTGAAATAAACCTTAACCATAATATTATGATTCTGTGGAAGTTTACATGCAGGGGCTTTATGTTGCTAATGTGTCATTCAGACCAAGTTTCTCTCGGTGCATGATTGACATGTGATCAACTACACATTCCACTTTTAGTCTTAGATTCCCACCACCATGCACATCAGCAAGAGGTCTATGATGTTTTCTGGCCTCTCTGCTGAATAACTGTCCCCCTCGTCCTCCACTGTCACCCCCTCACCCTTTCCCCATTCTGGGCATGCACTAAGGTATTCTTGTACCTATGTGCACATACTTAAAACAAAACAAAAAACCGCACAAGAAGCGCACAAAAACGCAAGACTGATGTAACTGTGGTTCACAATGGCCATAACGGAAGCATGTGCTTCGGGTTGGAGAGATAACCCATTTCCATTTGGGTTTCTTCAATACGGAGGTCTTGGGGAAGACTGACTTTTTGCTATAGTGAAATTCTGATGAGCAGGTCTTGCACAAGACCTCTATATGGTGATGATTTTAAAATGTCCCAAGGTAATCTCCTACATATGTTGAGATGGTGAGAGAATACTTCCTCCAAACTGAGTTGTTGGAATTCTGACACGCCTTCTGCATACGGTAACTGATGGAAATAGGAGCACTTGTATCCTTTTGGCTAGTAGAAACAAAATGACTACGCTGTGCTCAGGTGAGAAGCAAGCTGAAATGGGGTAGGGCAACAGGGGCTACCTACAAAAACATCACCGCATACATGACAACTCTCTGCCCCCTTGCCTTTCCACATTAGCAGTAACTGTAGATATTTAATGGGTTGTTTTTACTTAATGGATTTTCCACTGTAAGAGGAACTATGGATTTAAGGGTTTTTTTTAATTAAAAAAAAGTATTAGTTGGCATTTTGATAATGACAACATCATGTGGGTAGTGCCCAAATCTTGAGTGGCACCAGCTCCACAATAAACTTCTGCCTGGAAGCACCCTAAACAAAACAGCAATGTTGAGTGTGTGTTTTAATACATAATTTTAAACTATGCAGTTTACAATATTTTTATTTGCTTTTATTTAAGGAATTTATATCCCACTTTTCATCAAAAGAAGTTTTTTTTTTAAAAAAAGAGGTAATTGTACAGGAAACATTTATCACAAAGGTTGTTTGTCTTGTTGCTTGTTTTCATGTTATGAAGAGTTATATAAGCAGAAATCTCTGTGGCAAATAGTTACCTGATTTTTTTTTCTTGGTAAAAAAAAAGACATCCATAATAAGCACACATAAAATGGAGTGCCCTATGCAATGAGAGAAACATCTAATACTTAAAATTTGATTCTTATTTTTAAAAAAACCCCAGAGAGAAATGATACAGCCTTGCGATCAGAAACACAGAACTGGGAAACAAGACCCTTGGTGTCTGCTCTGCTGAAGACTAGCTGCATTTCCCTTGTATGTTATTTTCAATATCATTGCACTGCACTCCATTTATAAAGTGTATGTTTACTATGAACAGCTGTTATACTAGACAATAACTTTTAACCCGCTACCATAAATGGTATAATTGCAGTACCGTGTGCCTCCCTCCAAAACCAAATGTTAGCTTATAGGGTGGGAAACAAGTCATCTGCTTTCCACTCTACTAATGGCTATTGCTTCTGCCTGATCTCATGTTAAGGTAAATAGTCTTCTCTACCATCCAAAGAAGGGTTATTCATAAAACAATTATTGGGCAACTTCTTTTGTTCCTCCAGCTGGTTACCATGTTTGGCCTCATCCACACAGCTACAACATGAAGGTGGTCACTTACGCATCACCAAAAAAAAGGGGCCGCCAATCACCAGAAAAGGCACCAATTTGCATATTACTTAATGTGCTGATTTATGCACACATTCAGAAATGAAGACTATAGTTTAATTAGAAATATAATATATCTCAGCACAGCAGGGAAGCTTGCTATCAAGGTGCTAAACTTGATGGGATGAATTAACCTTCTTATGGTTCCTTATTTTTAAGCTAGACTTGCACTTCAAATAGAGGCCACTTTCAAAGAGAGGACCGTTTTCTGAAAGCCTTTGAAATAGGATTGTTCCCTGCAAATTAGGACATGTATCTACCCTAACAAGACGCCCAATGTTATTCCATCACTGGGAATTTATACTGAAAACATAGTCACAGCCACTCCTTCTACTCCTGAAGAACTACAGTGGTACCTCTGGTTGTGAATGGGATCCGTTCCGGAGCCCCGTTCGCAACCTGAAAGGAATGCAACCCGCTTCTGCGCATGCGCGTGACATCATTTTACGCGTCTGTGCATGCGTGTGTGGCAAAACTCGGAAGTAACCCTTTCCGGTACTTCCGGTTCGCTGCGGGACGCAACCTGAAAAAACGTATCATGAAGCAAACGTAACAAGAGGTATGACTGTATTATTAGGATAATAGATCACCTTCAGTAAACTTCAGAAGATAAAGTTTACTATTACTCCTAATGTTGGAAGTGCAAATATCTAGGTACCTTTTAAAAAAACTATCATAATGGATACGCTCTACAGCAATTACTTACTGAACCAAAATCAGTTATACGATAGGACTAAGTGGGGTGGGGGGAACAGTTCCTTGATTATTTCTTCTTACTTACACCAAGTATATTCCAACGAAACATAGGGCAAAACAGCACAAATAGTACAGGATATACAAAATCCAAGTTTTTTAAAAATGGGAACAAAAGTTGTTTGAATATGCAACTATAGCCCAAAATAACTTGCTTTAAGAGCATTAGAGGAGAGGCAGAAAGCACTCATTTGTAGTTAAATGATTTACGTTTATCAGTGATTGGTAAGACGGCTGCTGTAACATACACACTAATGTACTTAGGCTCATTTCAATATATTCAAATTGTATGCTCAGGTAGGCATGTCACATTCATGTTATTTAGGTAATTTAAACTGAACATTTAAAAAACAGTGGTTGATAATCAGCACTGAGGAAATGGGCTTCCCATTCTTCTCTTCCCCTTTACAGTCTCTGCCCCCCTCCCCAGTCTGCTCCGGTGAGGCCTACAACCCTCCAGAGTAGATTTCAGGTGTGTAGGGACTTCAAGGGGAGGAGCAATCCATTCCACAAATGGTATATGTTCCCCTAGTGGATGATATACTGTGTAATCTTCCTCCACTTTCCATATGCAAAGCATCACCACTGTTTGCACCAAGTTTAGTCTGCGATAGTCTGAACAGTTTCTGCCTGTTGACAAGGTCCAAGACTTAGGCAGCAATCCTAAACATACTTACTAAGGGAATACTCCCTACTGAATATAGTTGAACTTATTTTTGAATATCCATACAAAGGATCATGCTATTCAAAAAAATCAACCCCCACTCCTTTCATTATCATGGTGTTCCTTTCGTCATGCATTTTGGTTTTTTGAAATGCGCCTCCTGTCTTTCTGATCTATTCTAGTTGCATTCCAAAAATAATTAAAATCAATGGAAAACTGGAAACAAGAGTAAAAACGCATGCCAATATTCTACATATCCAGGGAAATTGTTTGAACAAAAAAGATTTTAGCAGGCGCCAAAAAGAGTACAGTGAAGGTGCCTGCCTGATTTCAATAAGAAGGGAGTTCCAAAGATTGATTTGTTACAAATGCTGAATGAGTATTATGTCGTACCTGTAACAATGCCAGTTCCACAGCTTTAAACAGTCAAGTGGGCATATATGGGGTAAGGCAATCTTGCAGGTAAAAATCTAGCTGGTCCCAAGTTGTTAAGGGCTTTATATACTAACATCAGCAGCTTGAATCTGGCTGGGTATTAAATTGGCAAACAGTACAGATTTCTGACCACAGGTGTTATATGTTGACAGGGACTCACACCTGTTAGCAATTGTGTTGCAGCATTCTAAACTAACTGCAGTTTCTGAGTCAAACAAAAGGGGAGCCCCAGAGCACCCTGAAAAAAATAATATCCACTATATTCCTGTTCTTGATTATGCAACACTGCAAAGAAACGTAACACAAAATGTTTGGGGGATATTTTACTACCATTGCCAGAATGTAGGTGTATCTCATAGTAGCAAAATGCCTCGTTTAGCAGTGTCAGAAGAAAAGAGCCCCTTAATCCACTTTCTTCAATCAAGTTTTCTTTTAAAAAAACCCAAGGGACTTTCCACTGACTGGCTGAGACAAAAAAAGCACCCCACTGACAAAGATCAAAGATTTCTTAAAAATGTCCCATGCTCTTTGGGGGGGGGCGTGTTTTCAGAATGAAAATATTGTACAGGTTTTGTACATTTGTTTCCCTTGTACATTTGTTTCCTTTTCTTTATCTGAAAAGTTTTACCCCAACATTTCCCATTGGCTGGGACAAAAAAGCACCTGATGGCAAAAATCAGTAAGATTTCTTTGTATTTTTGTTTATGTTTGAGGTGATTTTTTGCTTCTAGTAAATGGTAGATGGCTGAAATTTGAGACACTGTTTACTTCTTTGTAGGTGACAATGCTCTAGAAAAACTTATTTTATAGCTCTACTTCTGTGTAAATTCTGCAAGGAAGAGTGCACCGGGGCTAGGATTCTGTGCCAGAACATTAGTTAAGGAGACAAGATAAATTGGGAAAGGCAAACCAGGACAACCTCTAACCCAGTGGATTAGTCTGCGTAATCCAGAACGTACTGTAAATCAAGCAGAAAGCAGATGCATTACAAGTAGATTCCTACAGCACAGATATTTCATATGAACTGAGTGAGTACACAGGCCCAAATACATGGAAAAGCAAGCCTCCATGTCCCCAAAATCCAGATTTATGAAGCAATGAAATCTAGTGGAAATCTCTTCCTGATCCAAGATATGAAAATCAGCCAGAACTGTTTGCAAGTAAATTTTATCGATTGAGTCTTCCATAGAAAACAATTGTAGCTGGGCACCATTCCGTGCCATGCAACCAACCTCCCATCTCAAACTGTAGCAGTATCTTATGCCCCAAAGAAAGATGCCCCCTTCAGAAACATACTGTATCCAACTCCAACTTGAACCCAGTGAGGTTCTTCATTCTCTTGCTTCTGTAAGACTCTTAAAAGTTCTTGTTTTTTTATTTCTAGCATGGTTTTTCAAAAGTGGTCAGTTTGTAGCTATTATTTCTTGTATATGTAGATTTCTTTATAGTTATTTCTCCTCTATGGTGGTAGATTTAGTATGTCTCTCTACCTCCTATTTCCCAAGCTAAGTTTTTCCCCTCCCCAGAATGAATAAAGCCAAGAGAATGAAAGCAGTGCAGTTGTTGGGTGTCTACGCTACACAGAAGTAGCCATTGACTGCTGCATCCAAGTAGAATCATATACATTTACACAGACCCATGGGAGTATTTATTCAGTCAAGATTTCCCCACCCCGCAAAGTTCACCAACAGATTAATAGTTTTAAACAGCAGAAGAAAATCCAACCCTTCTTGCTGGATTTCTCATTTTTGTTATGACAATACGCAAACGTTATTTTGCAAACAATACGTGACATGTGATACACTGGGGGGAAAGCGCAGAAACTTGGTTGGACAATGAAAAGCAAACGATTAAAACTGTCATCAGAATCCACTGCAAGTGATAAATAAATAAGTTAGTAGGCTGGTTTACTGTTTGAAGACTGTAATGAAGTATGGAAACACAACAAATGAGAACAATCCTACCAACATCTCATACTGGAAAGCAAAATTATATATCAAATGCACTGTCACAACTTCTGTACAAAGGCGCAGTTTCAATATAAACCTACTCTGTTATTTTCCTGTTTTGAAACTGAGTTATGGGCCCCCATGAACAAATGTTTTAGATAAAAAGCACTTTATCACTCAACATAAACAAGTTTGAAGAGAAATAATAACCCAAAAGAATAAAGAGGTTTTGTATGAACCCTATTATGCACCATCCAGTCACAGTTAAGCCCTGTCTGTCCCCATCAACTTTGATGAAAATAAGTTAAGCGTTTGGTTAACTCTTTCACTGAAATCAATGAGTCTGAAATTATGGTAGCATCCTGCCCATGACAGCACCCTTATAGGTTCCCTTCGCTGCATCATATAAAAGCATGCAGACGCCATATGATTTTGTCCCGCATCCTAAAGTTTTTCATTCTCTGCATTAACCTGCTTGTAACGCTGCAATACTGCACCCTCGTCTCCTATGCATTCCAGTCCATTATCCTACAAAGACATGCAGCATACTGTACTAAATGGATTTACAATGAAGCAGCCTTTTCAAGCCTCCAGCTGTGCTGTAAACCAAATACAGTTTTACACGCAGAGCGCAAAATCCCACTATCGGAGGAATCTTAAAAAGATGAAACCCTGATCCATTTTCTCAAATGAATGTTTCCTCTGAAAGCCCTGTAAACTGTCTTGCCTTCATGTCAACGCCACAAACTGTTCGTTCTCTCTCTCTCTCTCTCTCTCTCTCTCTCTTTTTCCCTACAGGGTATCAGAGCAGGAAGCAGTGCTCTGCAGACAAATATTTGTCCGAAGCAATAAAACAAAAGCGACATATGGAATTAGATCAGATAAAACACACACACAGAGAGCCGTCTAAGGATTCTGCATTTAAAAAGAACATCTCTGGCAAGAAGATTTATCTTTAAAGGAAAAGGCACCAAGTGAGAATCAGGAGAGACTACAGCTTCTTTGCTGTAGCTCACTTACCTTTCTGAGCCATATTGTCCCCTGCTGCGGAAGGGTTAGGCAAAGGGCATGAAATCTACCCAACATTAAGAATTTGCTGTCTAAACATCAGTGCTGCTGGCCAGCTCCTTACCGTATAGTGTGCTTCTGGTTAGCTGTCCCCCCATCGTACTGCGCAAGGTGGCTTGGCTACCTTGCAGTTTCTCCTCTCACTGGGCAGAGATGCAGAACTCTAAGTGTGCGATCATTGTCAGCACGCAAGACACAGGCACACTCCGACACAGAGGGATTTAATGACTCTCACATAAATAACACACTCATGAACACACAACAGAAGCCTGCAATCAGCCTCCACCCACTTTCCAACCCTCACAGGCTCAGCAATAAGCAGAGGCATATGTCATGATTATTTACATAAGGAGGAGACTTGTGACTCCAAAATAGCTAGAGAAAACTCAAAGCATTTTACAGACACATACAGCACCGCAGCCCCAAAGAAACTCAAGGGCACCTAAACATGCCCTGTCCGTCAGCCTTTATTCTGGTTTCTCTAATCTGGGATCACAACTCTGATAAATCGTTAGGAAAAATATAGTTGATTTCTTGGCTGTTGAAAGCAGTGGCTGCATGCCTGTTTCTAAACCCCAAGGTACCCTTGCTTACAAGCAAACAAAGCCTTTGTCTCTGTGAATTTCACTGCAAACACAAAACAGATTTATTTAGAAATCTTAAGTCCAGCTGTCAATGAAGCTTGCTTTTCACCTCCATCATTATGCAATTTAAATATAAAAATGAAGTTTTTGAAAAGGAGAAATACTTCCATTCAGCACATCGCTCCTACATATATCTGTGGGTATGGCAGGCAGAAACCCAAACTGAAATAGGTGCATTACCAGAAATCATTGGCCCAGATTCCTCTGCTGGTTAATTATTAATTATTTAAGAGCAAGGGAGAAGTGTCTGAAATGCAGAATGGTCCACCCTGGACTGTAATAGCAAAAATATTTTCCTCCACCCCCCTCAGACTAGCTTTTGTGGCATGACTGCAGGCTCAGCTCAGACACAATGCAGCCTGCTCTTCAGTCCATTACCTCCAGTGATTGACTGCAGTGAGCGTTATTAAACGCACTGAGTTGTGGAGGCAGGCTGGTGTGGGAAGGGTGTGGGGCAGGGTTCAAAGGCATGAACCCCCATTCTGCCCCTCAATGCTTTGGTGTAAGAATGTTATCCTTCCCCACCTCTATTAACAAAATAAGAACCTAGCTCTACCAGAACATAAAATCAAACTAACTTTACACTGAAGTTTCAAGTTCCAGAACAAGCACAGTGTTATGCAAACCACGGTTTGCCACCTACACTCTAGCTAAGAAAGGGTTACAGTCAAACCATGGTTATGCAGACAGTGCAAGTAACAACCAGTTTCTTCACAGGTACATAAGATAGTACAGGCAGAGAAGAATTAGATTAAACAATATGAGTGAGAACACATATAACAGGTGCAATCTGAAGAGTCGGGTAAGGAAGCAGGAAGCAGAATGCCTTGACTGAAGGAGATAGAGTTCTCCCAGGAAAAATGTGGAATGTCTATGCATCAGCCAATGAATTATGTGTAAGCAAGAAGAAATTGCTTGGTTAAGCCACAACAATAATGAATGAGGCACTCCTATAAATGGCAACTCTGAAATAAGTCCTATTGAGTTCAGTGGAGCTTAGTGCAAGATAAATGGGTAGGGGCTCACAGCCTAAATTCCTTTACACATATACTTTTGGCATTGTGCAGTCTTGGTTGATCCTGATCTCTGCTTGTGTAAGAATGATATTTTATAACAAGAACCAAATTGCTATTGTAGTAGTTCTCTGACCTATCTTGACCCAACCTTGAAAGCACCTTACCAGATGACCTCTGTACTTCTGGATGGCAATCTAACAGCCAACAATTTGGAAATCACTAAGGTAGGATGGAATCCTTAGCTATGGAAAATCCTGAGATGGTGATACTAGGTCATCTTCAATTGCCTTCCGGTCATGTAATTATTTGATAAAGTCAGTGGCAGCTGAAACAGTTCCTTAGCCTGAGTTGAAGATATCTTCTGCACTGTAGAATAAAATGAGTTTGAAATATGAGCAGGTTACATCATTTTCTGCGCAGGTTTTTCAATTCATACAGGGTTGCTACAAATCCTCTTTTTTAAGGGAAACAGAAAACTTCCTTAGAATATGCAGAATACTCTTTACTCCAGGATTTTAAAAAAATCATTGACAATTGACGAGCTGCTGCTGTTGTTGATGATAGTGATGGTGGTATTTCCAAGAAAAAAAGATCCTATAACCTTCCTGAGCAACTTGTTTGAGTTTTTAACTGCTTCCCTAATCTTTATCTTAAATCTATTTCTCCGCACCTGAAAAATGAAGTTTATTGTCCTATGACAATCATCTACTCCACTGGTCACAGATTCTCCCGCCATCTGGGAAGGATTGCATTCCAAATGGAGGTTCTCTATCCCTACCACATAAAACACATAAAACACTGCAGGAATAAGGCAGGGTGCTAACATTAAGAAGCTGCAATAGTTCCTAGTGTTAAAAGCCCTGAGATAGCTTTACTCTTTATGAACCAGTAATAGATATATGCCTGAAACTCTCTCCCTTCTGCAGTTTGCATTTTTACAGCAGTTTCTTGGCAGTCAGAGTGCCTGCTTAATTCTGCTGCTGCATTTATAGCAATACTGCAAGAGATGTGCTGTAGCTGCATTGCTGAAGCTGCAGACTCAGCAGCAAATTCCAGTACAAAGGCATGCACAGGGAGAACCTGGGTAATCTGTAAAAGAAGACCTCCCTGTCTTTGAACACACAATTAAATTGCCTATTTTTTATAATTAAAAAAGTGAAATAATTAAGTATGTTTCGGTGGACATTTGCTTGTACAGAAGCACTAGATGACCACTGCAGTAGTTTATTCAAAGGCATTTTATAGGCAATAACCAAACCTTTATATACATCACAAAATTTCTGCATGACTGATGACTAGCAACTGAATGAATGGGCACACTGCACTGAAGCAGCATTCATGTGAGATAGGCATGAAAAGTATATTTCTGGCAACACATTCACACAAGATTGTGTTGGGTGGCCACTGCTCTACTTTACAGAGAAGTTAGAGCAAGGGGAGGGCTGGCAGTCCTCGGAGTCCACTATTTTGAAGGGCTGTCTGGTCCACACTGGTTTAAAGATAAAGAACTATGACAAGTGAGATGTTTCCTGTCAACAGTTTGCACCTGGGCAGCAGACCCCTTGTCAGTCTTAATCACTATGGTGCAATATATTTTATTTCGACTTAAATTACAGTAATCATGTTTTCAATCTATACATATAAATCAGCATATACACATTGTATGCAGTTCTATTTCCCTAATGAGTGGGCCCTCTCCCTCACCTGGCTGGTAGTGAGAAAGACAAAAGCTGGGGTGGAGCGTCCCTGAGATGGAATGGAAGCTGGCAGAAGCCAGAGAGTGACAGCCATGCTTGATTTCTGCTTAAAACCAAGGCTGTGATTACAGGAGAAGAAAAGACATCTTGGTGTGTTAATGCTGTGAGCCCTGCCATCGTAGGCTCGGTTTGTATATATGTGTGTAAATAAACTAAATATCGTAATGACAACACAGTCTCTGCTGTTTCTCATTACAAGAAAGTCAAACTCTGGGAAAGCACCTCAAACCCCTGGAATCTCACACTGCTTGGAGATTGGCTGGCATGCCATGCACAATGCAATGTTTTGCCGCCTCCTCACAGACACACTCCCAAACACAACCATTCTCTTTTTCCGTGTTCACATCTAACTTTTCTAAGCTCTTAATTAAAGTAATTAAAGCAATTATCCAATGGATGCAATTTAATAATTTGCTTCAAGGTTAGTTTTTAACATCCAGAGTAATTAGCAACCTGACTTTGCTCCTTCCTCACTTATTAATGGGTTTATTTTCTCTCCAATGCTACTAGTGTAATTATTTTTAAAGGTACCCCCTTTGGCTGTTACTGTCTCACTTGTTTGTAACTTGTTGTCTCCCCTGCTCTTTGAACTGGTCCCATTACGCCATTCACTGGGTTTTCCTTAAGGCTTCTGTTCTTTGAGAAGCCCCTCGTGAAAGCACGAGGAACAACTAGCAATATTATGAAAGCTATTAAAGTCACAGAGGGCTTGTTAAGCACATATGCCTTCAGGCTCAAAGAATTCAACTTCAGCACTCAGGATACCTAGGGTGATGTCCAACTAAGTCATATTCAGAGCAGATCCATTAAAATTATGCCCATTAATTTCATGGCTAATATTGGACATCACCCCTAACTATACAGTGATAACGGATTTTTTCCCCTTATAAAAGAAATATATATCTATTTATGAACTTTCTGACAGTAAGAGCTGTTTGACAGTGGAACAGACTCCCTTGTGAGGTTGTGGGCTCTCCTTTCCTTGGAGGTTAAGCAGAGGTTCGATGGCCATCTGGCATGGATGCTTTAGTTGAGATTCCTGCATTGCAGGGGGTTGGACTAGATAACCCCCGGGGTCTCTTCCAACTCTATGATTCTACACACACACACACACACACACACACACACACACCTATTAGTCTATTGTTATTCTAACTTCTAAGTTTTCAATAGTTAATTTTTCAATTGATAATTTTAGTGTTATATCTTTTTTGTAAACTGCTTTGAGTTGTTTGTTTGTTTGTTTGTTTGTTTGACAATCAAGAGGTGCATACATTTTATAAAATAAATATTTCAGAGATTTTAGTTAGGTACTTCCTGGCTCACATCCCATTCTCTCAGCCATGACACCACACTAAGCCATTTTGTGTGCTCGTTTCTTTCAAGCAAAACTGATGTGATTTTTGCACAAAAGGTTCCGATTTCAAGTTTTGTTTAAAGCTTCATCAGATTTATACTTGGCCAAGATTTATTCAAGATTTATACAAGCTTTATAAGATTTATACTTGGCCAAACCCAGAAACCCCCTCTTTCCTCCATCTGCCAGCTGAACCCCAGCTTCCTCTCTGCATCTTTGCACAACCTAAGACAACAAGATAACATAGAGGAGCATATGAGCTGGAGAGGATGCTATGGTGTTTCACCAAAAGATAACAGCAGGATATCCTGGTCATTAGAGGGCCCATTTCAGAAGGGTAAATATTTGGGAATGTGTAGGCAACATAAATTATTGCCTGCCCCCATTATTCCATCTTTGTTTTGTTAGCAATTAAGGGAATCCATTCCTTGCCTGGTCACACCTGTCTGCGGATGCGAGATGAAAAG